AGTTTCCATCTTCAATAGGTATCACTAGGTTATGTCTGCTTAACATCAAAGGCAAACATTAAACATTAAGTATTAAATATTCACTTGCTCAGACTTATACGTGTATCAACATTATAAATCCATACAACTCTTCACTGTGTTCATGAAATATGAGCTGTATGATGAACTTTTGTACCAATTACATTCATCTAAAAATCTTATTCTAATAAGTCAACTTCTGTCATTTTTCTAGAGTGATCTTAAAAAGTTGTTCATTTTATATCATCACATATGGTTTTTTCACAAATTATGAGAAATGATAAACGCATTTTCTGCTATCTGATACAATTTATTTATCATATCCCAATTGAAAATTCAAACGAAGATTTTTGGAGTAATATTCCAGAGAGGAGTGTAATAAATAAACCTCCGAGGTCATTTTACTGCCTAAGATTTAATATTTATGAAGCACATATCGAACAGTTATTCTCATATTGTCACCAAGAATTGTGTATAACATCTTTAAACTAACCCATGCTTCTCTCTTAACTTCTCTCATTGTTCCTACAAACTGTTCATGAGAAGAGTTCTGCCTTCTGGGATATAACACCACACAGTCCATCAGAAATTCCAAATCTGCTGCAAAATGAGAACTCATTCTTTAACTTTCTCATAAATGAGAGCTCAGAATTTCTTGAAGATGAACTTGGAACAGCCACCATCCTTATCCATCCCCTTTACAAACTGTCTCATGAATCCAAGATTCTTACCCAGTGAAGGTAAGAGCACTTTGTTTACATCAACCAAACATTCACATATTACATTCTCTGAAACAGGTATGAGACTGAGTCTGGGGGGCCACTATTTCTTGATCCATTGCGGACATCATGCTCTACTCTCCTATTATGACAACTAATGAGGAACTTCATGATTCCCACACTTCCTGTGACTTCTGTGGGAAGAAGGAAACCTGTGCTGTAAGAAATAATTTCTTCTGTGGATTTGCATAGGGGATGTTAATAGGCAGTCTTATATAGGTGGTGTTAGTATCTGACAGTATAGTTACCCACTTCGCTGATAAAGGGTGAAGTTATCTGCAGGATCTTTCCCACTCTGACACTGAATTCTCTCCTTCAAGAGTACAAATCCATAAACAACGGTACACTAGCAGCCTCAGACTAGTAGGATAAATGAAGACAGAAGTGCAGTAAGTTGTTACAGTAGTGGGATTTCAATTAGATTTAAGCCCCACAGTGAAACACCAAAGTGAAAATAATACAATGTGGTCTTTGCTACCCTGTCTCACAAGCAGCACAGTAATCATCATAAAACTGGAATATTACTGTTTGCAAACAGTATGTTTGTGATAGGCAAAAATTGATGTCATTTTTGGATTCAGCATATCAAAATCTATAAGACAAGTATAATACTCTAAACAACCAGTCCATCACACACCAGTATTAGTATATCATGTACACAGTATAATGAAATATGGATCACAATCTGACATGACCAACGATGTGAAAGAAAAATATATTTATAAATGTATTACTGTTGTATATTTAAGTTTAGGAAATGGTATTAATTAAGAAATTGTTTTGTGGTATTGAATAAACTACAAATTATCATGATATTGCTACCTATTATGATTTATGATTACTTTAGTTCTCTATCTGAATATTTACTTTTGTTTTCAGGCAAAATACATTAAAAATATGGGCTTTGGAGGTGCAATGGCATGGACAGTGGACTTGGATGATTTCAACAACCTTTGCTGCAGAGAACCTTTCCCTTTGCTGCGAACGATCAACCGTATACTGGGCAACTTGCCAGAGCAGGAGCCCACCAGAGCAGACTGCACCAAACCACCTGCACCTATCACACCACAACCACCGACCCTCACTACGGGTGTTGATATAGGTCAGTTGCACATAAATATTTGTATGAAAGAAAGGTAGGTTTCTCTATCCTCAGGGGACAGTTAATTACCAGTGCCAACTTATGAGGTGGAGTCAGGGCAGGTAAATACACAATCAAATGTTATTAAGAAGCATTTGTATCAATTTTGACAGGTATGTTTATGCAAGGGCCAAGAAGGCCCATCCCTATATATTCATTATATTGTTATCACTAATAAACAAATGTGATCTGTTAAAGATATTGGAAATAGATCCATCACACTCTTTCTTTCTTTCCTTTATCCGTATTTACGTTTATCTTCTTTCTCCCTCCCTTCCTTTCTCTCCTTTCTATCAAAACAGGTCTGATTTTCTCCTTACAGCCTGTTCTTTACCCTTCCCATCCATTATCCATTTTCCCTTCCTTCATCACTCTCTTTAAACCAAAACAATTCCCAGTTAGGATGTGAGTCCTGTGGCTAAGTACATGTATCACCTAAAAGGGTTTCATAAAGATATAAGAAAATTAACAAAGTAGTTTCTTTAAATTTCATTGTCACAGTTTAAAATCTTTTTTTAATTAAAGGTGAAATCAGCTCAACGCCACCATATGAACCACCTACTTCTTCTTCTACAACTTGGCCAGACTGGACAACTAGTTCAAGCTCTGCTACTTGGAGACCTACATCAACAACAACAACAACAACAACAACACCACCTTGGTGGCGGCCACCAACCACTACAACTTCCACTCCCAGGCCAACAACTACAACACCATGGTGGCAGCGCCCAACCACTACAACAAAAACTACCACTCCACGACCTACGACAACCACAACTACCACACAACGACCTACCACAATTACAACTACCACTACCCGTCGTCCCTCTACCACTACTAGTGTGATAACAAAACCTCCCACTACAGCCTTACCAGACATTCCTTTGCCAGGAGCACCTTGCAATGCAGGCGAATATCTTCCAGATCCTTCAAACTGCAATGCATATTACCGCTGTATTCTGGGAGAGTTAAGGAAAGAATATTGTGCAGGTGGATTGCACTGGAATACACAAAGCAAAGTTTGTGACTGGCCAAGTGAAGCCAAATGTGAAAAACGTGAGTAGGTTATACCGACATTTTAATGTAAGATTGATTCAGCCAGTGCAATTGACTTCTGAAGTAACTTTTGAAATGTATTGTAAATGAGGGACCTTCATTTCTTGCACATGAACCTTAAGAAAATGATGTTATAAATTATGAATTCTCTGTTTACATTAAGTGATACATTCTTTCGATTGTAAATGGAGGACTTCAGATCTACTGTTTTGAAGCTAGTCTGTCCAGAAATCACCAAGATTGAAAGATGAAATATTTCCATTGCTTATGCTTAGAATAACAAAATCATTATTATCAAGAATGTATAATTATTGGTGTATACCCTCACTTTTTTATCTGCATCTTGTCCCATTAATATATAACAGCATACACAGCAATGGAAAATCTTTAGTTCATAGGAATATTAGCTTACTTTCATCATAATAATGAGTATATTCACATATTAAACTCCCCGTTATCTGGCATTCAAACGTCCAGTATTCTCACACAAGTGGTGAAGTAATTAAAATAAAATTGACAATCCTTAAACAAACTTAAAAAAGAAAATTTCAATGAGTATATGTTCAACCCCTACATGGTAGTTCTCCTAGCCACCACAAGCAGTGCTGCCCTTCATCTTCCTCACACAATTGCTATTACATTATGGGTTGTATTTGCATCACATTTAATTTTAACTGTCTTTACATGGTGTTTAATAAATTATATGCCTGTTTACTCTATTTCAGTTTCATTGGGTTTCTATAAGAATTTTTTATACAACCATCAAATTCTTGTAACTGCCACACACAATCCCCCACATTTGCTAAATAACTGGGAGTTTATTGTATGTACATATATATATATATATATATACGCTATTATGTACGTGGAACAGTTTGATGATGCTTGTCCAAAAATCAAAATAATGAAAATTTATAAGAAAAACATTCAAGAATCCTGCCTCTGCAACATAACTACTTAATGTAAGGAAAACTGTAAGTTACATTAAGGAAGTATAGTAAGTTTACAATGGGGCACTCGGTAGTGTAGCTGTTTGAGGCGCTATGCTACAAGCCGGAAGGTTGAAGGTTCAAGTCCCAATGAGGTGGATTTTTTCATGTGACCTAATCCTTCCAGGCACACTATGGCCCTGGGGTCGACTCAGCCTCTACCAGAAATGTGTACTAGGAATCTTCCTGGGGGGTTAAGTGCGGTCGGCACGTAAGCCTGACAACCTTACCGCCCTCTGTGAACCAATTATCTAGATAATGTGGGACCCTCAACCTCTCACTATCCTATGGGCCTCCATGGCCTGTTACAGGAATTGCTTTACCTTTGCTGGTCACGGTAGCCAAGCGGTCTAAGGCATGTACTGTCTTTGCTGGCTCAGAAGCTGGGATCATGGGTTCGAATCCCACAAAAGGCATGGATGTTTGGTATGTGTATGTGTTTATTCTGTGTTTATGTTTACCTATGTTTAGGTAGAGGCCTTGCTATGAGCTGGTCACTAATCCAAGGGTCCTACCATCTATAAAATTATCATGAAATTGAAAAATCAGAGGCCAGGTCCCAAGGGGGCTGTAGAGCCAGAGAAAAATAAATAGTAAGTTTACTAGTGTTAACTGATTTTTCTCTGTTGTAGAATCTGCAACACTTTCCACTACAGAAACTTCTCCATGGTGGACTACAGCACAATCAACAAGTACAACAGGATGGGACAACTGGTGGACAAGCACCACAACAACAACAACAACAACACATATACCAGATGGCTGGTGGACAACAACTAAGAAATCAACAACTACAAGCAGGCCAAGTACAGAGGTATTTATATTGAGTTCTAGGGTCTAGCTAAGGTGGAAAGGAATTTCAAATTGTTATAGTTTGGATGTAAATATTCAATCAAGAGTTGTAATATACTGTCACATGTATGTGTGTGCTATAGACATGGTTTGGATTGGTGTGTGGATTTATTGACCGCTCATACACACTACTTGGAACTACAAGTAATTACAGATCTATCACTAATCTCCACAATTCACAAATTACCACAGCACCCCCTAAGCTTTTCCAAGCCTACTGTGCCTCCACCAGCCATTTCCTGGCAACGGCTTTAACAATGGAGAGTCTTCAGCTTCCTTCCTCCAGGTCTTATCTTCACAGCATCTCATGCAGAACTCAACTCTGTACTGATAACTCTCAACTAATTCCCAGACTGGCGGCCATTTCACACGAACCTCCTTGTCTTCTCTTCACAGCTTGACTTTCAACTAACTGCGTTGTCCCAATTGTCCTCAAGATAACTCCTCAGCATTGACCACACAGAAAACACAACTATTTCCGTTGTTTATTCCAACTGTTTCAGATGCCTAACAATGGGTTGCATAACGCCATTTCCAGCAGTAACTATTGTTGTAGGGGCGTGTTTACCACATATTGTTGACTAGAACTGTTTACTGCGCGGCAAACACATAGGAAACACATCCTCTATTGCTTACTAAGACTGTTTATCACGCCGTTGCCTAGCAGTGAATGTCCTTTATTGTCACATATTGTTGTACGCATTACCCAGCCATGGACTGTTTACCAAGAATCTGTCTCCACCGGAATGTGTCTATCGAACCGTTGCCTAGCAGTGGGTTGATACAGCACATTAAATTATTTGGATTCTAAGAGAACTGTGAGGAGCATAAACGAAAGTCTTACTTGTATGTGTTATATTTTTTGGCCTGTTAATTTAGAACAGTTTTAAGGATTCCAAAAAATGACAGAACCTAACTCACACAAAATAAGTACAATGACCATGGTTAAACATAAACAAACTACATAATATTGTGGTAAACAGATATTTGCACAGAATATTTATGATGGTTAAGTATTAAGTCACTGTATGAGTAAATGTCTTATGGTGGATAGGATCTGGTCATGTAGGACAATGGCATGCAGAAGGTCCTGGGTTCATTACCAAATGAATCCAGAACATATTGTTTGCGTGCCTTCCTCTTTCCTCAACTCTGAAAAAGAATCAAAACTTTTTTTATGTGAGGAATACTAGACTCCCACTGAGGTCTGGATCCCACATCCAGTTGTAGTTTCCTTTCTCAGCCATCATGATCAGAAGAAAAATATAAATTATGCATTTCAGTTGCTCCCATCAAAAATGCTCGATTTAGCCAGGGTGGTCAAAGACCATACCTGGAATCATAAGGCACAACAGCATTAACAGTAGAATTATAAAATAAATTGAAAGATGTACAAAGCACATGAAGACTAAAATATCCTTAGTGATTTGAATGGTGTTGATTTGTTCACAGATTATAGTATCAACTGAGAGATGTTCCAATGGTCAGTATTACCCAGATCCTGGATCCTGTACAATTTTCTACATCTGTGTTAATGGCACACCAGTAAAGCAGACTTGTGCACCAGGACTAGTGTGGAACCAAGCAGCGACAATGTGTGACTGGACCTTCAATACAAAATGCGCTAATTCCTTGTCGCTTCCACATGAATACCCACGTAAGTCCTATATCAGATGTGCCCTCAGTACAATATAATATTGGTTAAACTACTGCACTTTCTCCCATGAATACCTTTATGCACAAAGTGCATAAAACAATACATGATAATACAATACATGTTTCATCATCAAAACTATGTCACACACTTCAGTCAAGTTTGATGTTGGAGGTTTGCAGTAGAAGTTGAATTGAAAACTTGATACTGATATCTGCTGATCCAACATAACCTTACTTCACATATAATTCAAATAAAACTTTATATATTTCCTAAAAAAGACTTTCATTGGACAAAAACTCAATACATGACAAGAAATGTAGTTCTCTTCAATATGTATACAACACTGCCTAACTACTATATATAGTGTGGTGGATGTTACCTATGCAACTACGAAGTTCTGTTTCCCATAGATGATCATCAAAGTCAATTAGGTATGCAACTTTCCATTCATGTTATAAGCTGTATATTCTTGTGGTACACAATGTTTATCATCATCATCATCAGTAATCTGTCAGACGACAGGTCCACAGTCTCTTCCAAAACAATTCCTCGACTTAATGCGATCTAGAGCTTTCTCCTTCAAATGACAGTATCCTCTTCTGTCCCCAAGGTCATCCAGCATCTTCTTACGTCTTCTTCCTCGTCTTCTTGTCACTTCTATCCGCCCCTCTATCTTTCCTTCAATAACTTCTTTTAGAAGGCAGTTTCTGCGTAAAACATGACCAATCCAATTAGCCTTCCATTTTCTTACAATGTTTATATCGATTAAAATAAGAAGAAAGAATGTCAGAATTTTTAGAATCATATTTTACTGACATAAAGCCTTTTACAATGCAAATTCTATCATAAAAAATTATAACTTTTATCTGAATTCTATATACTACATAGTTCCCTTTCAGTATGCTACTTTTAATATATGTATATATTTTTTAGGTCCCTTGAGGTCTTACTTAAGGAAAACTACTTAAACTCAAAAGGATATATATATATATGGTCAAAAAAATATGGTTTCATCGTCCTGGAGTACCTCTTGTGCCTTTCATTCTTGCCACAAGTTGTTTTATTATTAGTACACAAAGGCTTGATGGATATGTGCTTTTCATAAAAGTTTAACAAACTTCATGTAGCAGAGTCCTTCTTTAGAAGTAAAAAGATTTTCAGCTATCTGAGAAATGCTCTGCCTTTTGTAGAACCCTAGGTTTTGTAAACGGCTGTATTCACAGTAACCTGCCAGCAATCCCCCTTCTGAGCCAGACAGGTCTATGCCATAACCTACATGCAACTCTTATAATTTTTAATATAATATTTTTTCCAAATTATTTGTTATATATAAGAAATGTTTCTTAAAATAACTTCATTTTCTTCCAGATTTTTTTTTAATTTTGATATGTATTTAATTACATTTAGTTACAATTTTTTAAAAGAGTACCAATTAAAAATATTTCAAATTGAAACTTTAAAATTAGGCAAGGATATATAACTCAAAAAAACAGGGCCATAACACTAGAAACAAATACACTTAATATACTTTCTTTGTAGTGCTTGAAAGTGATTCTGAGTCCAAACTCAAAAGGAGTCATTGGATTCAACAGAAGTATTTCAAAGTGTTTTTTATTATTTAAAGGGATGCATCTGGTAAGATAAATATTGTTGTGTTAGTGTAAATAAAAGTGTATTGATCCTTTTGTCTTGATACAGAATATTTGAAGATTAAGAAAGGCAGCTCTTGCAATGCTGGAGACTTTAGCTCAGCACAGGACTGCACAAAATATTTAGTCTGCATATGGGGCACATATCAAGAGTTTTCCTGTGGTCCAGGGCTACATTGGAATAATGTAAGTTTTAAGAGAAAATAAAAACTCTAACAGTTGTGATAGCTAGTGCACTGTGTTGAAAATCTCTGCAACTAATAGCAGATACAAATTTTAATTTTGTATGTGGCATGTCTGTTTTGTTTCTTTTAATCATATTATTTATCAGTAAAAGTCCCCCACTGAAACTATCACCCAATTACACTGAAAACAGTGCAAGTCAGTTTATAGCTGTGATGTGAGTCTAAGAATAAATGATCCAAAAAATAAAATTCTATGCTCACTCATGGAACTAAACACTTCTTAAGAAGCCACCAAATGTACAGCTACTCAAGAACTTCCCAGCATTTTATGGAACCCAAAGGTTCATTGCCCTATTCACAAGAGCCCTCCACTGGTCCATATCATGAGCCAGATCAATCCAATCCATACCATCCCATGCTATCTCTCTAAACAAACTCGGTGTCTTGAGTCTGCAAGCAAGCTATACCGACCGAGCGACAGCTACTTGTCGGCGAAGTTAGTGCCAACTTTTGCAGATAGAGGGTATCACACTGTCAGAGCAATGGATCCCCATGACCGTTAATCTCTGTTTTCTAGACCAGAGTCGCTATTTCCTTGAAATAGCTTATCAGTTATCCTCACGAGGCAGAATGAACCCCGTTCCAGACCCACTACTTCTCAGAAAATCTGGTAGCACTGGGAATCAAATGCAGGACCTCTGAATCTGTAGGCAGGAACTCTGACCACTAAACCACAGAGGCGATCAATATGGGAACATTGTACATTTGACAGTCAACTTTTGGATGTGGCAAATTTTAATACTCTTAACTCCATTATCAATACTGTAGTTTCATATAAAATCTCATTTCCAGTAGTTGGTTGGAAAATTTTCCCTTTGCCTATTTTGGAATTGAAATCTTGTAGCAGACATTTTTATAGTATTTAGAGAATTTATCTCATACACGTTCTAGTTCTGTATTGTTAAATATAAGCATATACCGTATTTACGCATGTATAGGCTGCACATTTTTTGCCAGAAATTCAAGAGGAAAACTGGGGTGCGGCTTATATTCGAAATATTCAAAATCACACTTCATTTAAAAAAATTAACATTGTCAAATTTCGGAATAATTTCTACTCCTGAAATAATATTCCAAGAAAATTATTTTTCTATAATTTCTGTCTGAAAATTGTGCTGCGGCCTATACACGCACGTGGCCTATACATGCGTAAATACGGTATTTAAGTTCATAACGTGGATGTTCACATGAACATATAAGTTGTTAGCTGTGTATGAACCAGAAACATGGACCTTAAAAATGTGTTTATGTTGGTGGTACAGATTACTTTAAATAGTTGAAGCGATGATGGCCCTGAAGCTCTGTAAATTCAGTAACCATTGTTGGTATTCTTTTTCTACTTATGAAACATTTCAGTATAAAAAAATTCCAAAATGATACACCTTTGCAAAATACCAGAAAAAAATATCTGTGTATAGCCACGTTATGATTTATGTGGTTTATTTCTGGTTTATTGAAGGCTGCACATCTTTGTGACTGGCCTCGAAATGCACAATGTAAATCTGGAGGTGATGATTTAAAACCAACTGATTTACCAACTGTGAGACCAACTCCTCCTACAACAAAACCAACACGTCCACCAACATGGTCAACACAGACCACACTATCTAGCAGCGGAGATGTGATAAGTTCCACTCCTAGTCTTCCTACAGTGGAGCCCACAAGACCTCCACAGGGTGGTACCTTATCTGGTAATCATGTTCTCATCTATCTTACACATACAAAATATATATTTAAGTAAACAACAAGAAAGTTTAATACATAGAGAGCTGAGTTATTTCTGAAATTAATGATGTCAGAATAAAGCTATATTAAGAAAGAAACAGTTACTGTGCATCCTCCTCAGATTAAAATGGACAATTTATGAATGGAAAAATTAAGTAGGCTAATGTAATACATAGAATCAAGGACTTTAAATTGAAAAGAATTTTACAGATACTGGGAGAAGTTCAGGCTATTTACTAGGTTATTTCTTATTTCAGGCTATTTCAAGGTAATATGCTACTTCACAAACTGGGCATGGTACCGTCCAGGAATAGGGAAGTACCTTCCTGAGACAATAGATGAACGACTTTGCACCCACATAGTGTACGGTTTTGCAGTGCTGGATTATGAAAACCTGATTGTGAAAGCCCATGATTCGTGGGCTGATTATGATAACAGTAAGTATAAGTGTAATGAGATTATTTTCTTCTTTCCTGTATGTCGAGTCCATGGTAGGTTAAACATAGTATTGTGATTCTATAAAAAAGCATACTTCAGATTTCAATTGAAAATTATGTTTCAGGTCCCTCCAAAAACTAAAATGTGGTTTCTGAACTATTTTCTGTGCACTCCTCTAGCACATGAACAGTTCAATAAATCTGATACATGGACTGTGAGTGTATCAGGACAGTGAGATGGACAGGATATGTGGCATAGTGGAAGGGGGAGAGAAATGTAGGCATAAGTTAGTAGGAAAGGCTGAAGGGAAGAAGCCATGTGAAAGACCTTAATTTAGAGGGGATGATAGTGTGATAATGTTGAAAAAGGTCTTGAAGAAATAGACTGAGAAATGTATGAGCTGAATTCAGCTACTGCAGGCTGGAGTCCAGTACTAAGCTGTTAAAAACACGGTAATGAAATTTCAGGGCCCATAAAACATAGGGAATTTGTTGATCATCTGAGTGGCTATTAGTTCTCAAGGACTTCTTTCATTGAAGTTAGTTGATACATGTAAGTGTTAGGAAAGTGTAATTTCAGTATAAACACAGTGACTGAAAGTGTTAGTTGACTTTACCCAAAATTATATTCTCAGGAATTATTTTTGTGACATTCAGAATTCTATGAACGAGTTGTGGCCTATAAGAAGAAGGGACTGAAAGTGTCACTTGCTCTTGGAGGTTGGAATGACTCTGCAGGTGATAAATACAGTCGCCTGGTAAACAGCCCATCTGCACGCCGAAGATTTGTCAAGCATGTTACTGAGTTCCTTGAGAAACACGGTTTTGATGGACTTGATCTTGACTGGGAATATCCAAAATGTTGGCAGGTGAATACAAAAATATAGAATAATGTACTGTATTTCCATTGTGATGTCATATGTTCGTAATAAATTAGGATCCATAAATCCTATTATTCTCTCAAGTTATAGACATTATTATTGGACATTTCAGACATGAGCAAACTGATGTGAGGCTTATTGTCTATTGGCCCACATATTTTGACACTGAAGCCTGATTCTGAAATTTCTGATATTTATAAGAGCTATTTAAATTGAACATGCTATAATGGAACCTGATATACTATAAATTATCTTGCAAGTTTGAATTAAGGATCTATAATTGTTGCTAAAGTTATTCTATGAAAGAAATGTGAACAGGTTAGGATAACTGCACTGATGCCTTTGGGGAATATTTGTAAATAAATATATTTATGCTAACATAACAAGCTAAACTTCTTTTCTGATGACTTAGCATTGTAATATAATGTCGTGCAGATCATGGAAATTTGTCTCTCAGTCAGTCATTGTAAACATGCTCTTGCATTATTTTTATAATGCCATAAATTTGGTGGAAAGTTACATCTTTCTATATCCTGCCACAAAAATGCACAGATTTTAAGTGGCTGTTAAGATATTAATTATTCTGGTGATGTAACTTTGTTCAGTGGAATTTCGTAAATTTTCAGACATTTTCTGCTAGAAAAGTATGTTGAATAACCATTTCTTTTCCACTAATATTCCTCTGGCTTTAAATTTACTGACATATTCTCTATTATGAATGTTGTCATTATGCTGTATGAACAAATATCCATCCAAATTCCTTTGCACACATTTATGTATATGTGAAATAAAGAAACCATGGTAAGCAGCAGCAACAATGGTAATAACAGGAAGCATAATATTTCATTCATTTGTTCGTTCATTCATTCATTTATTCATATCATAGATAATACAGCCTGTTCATTCCTGGTAGCATAGTAATCATGTTAACAGATTTTTAAACTTCTAGAAATATACATGCACTGCAACGCATTTTTTTTTAAAGGAAACACAGAGTGTATACTTCATACAATTGTCAATGTTACTGAAAGTTAGTATTATGTATAACTTATGCAAGTAGAATTATCAATAAAAACTTTTTCAAAAATGCCTCAAAATCTTATATACATTAATGACATTAAGAAGATCTTCAGATTATTGAAGGGCAGCTGTTAGAATATAAAAACTAAATGAATTGAAATGAAAGTTGTAATTAATATTATAAATGTGTCTATCAAAGTTATTCAGAACAGATAGGAACATTCAGAATGCCAGGGTGGAAACTCTATACACACTGGTGCAGATAGTACCTTCCCAAATGTTGTTCTGGTACATTAGGTTGAAGCCACTATAATGTTTTATTCCTTATTGCTTTACTAGGTGGACTGTAACAAAGGCCCTGATTCTGACAAGGCTGCATTTGCCGCATTAATAAGAGAATTACGGCAAGCCTTTAACCCCAAGGGTCTCCTATTATCATCTGCTGTTTCCCCCAGTAAGAGTGTTGTTGATGCAGGTGTGTATTATATTGATTCATTTGTTATGGGTTTCTGTAACTTCTGGTAAAGATAAGGGGACTGTGTTATATGGCACAAGGTTTGTCTTCCCCTCCTCCTCCTCCTTCCCCTCCTACCTCCTCCTCATAATATTCTTCCACTTTCTCCCTTCCTCTTCTTCTTCCACTTCATCTTATTCTTCCTCCTCCTCTTTCTCCTGTCCCTCCTCCTCTTCATCTTCTCTTTCTTCTTCTATCTTGTCACAATCTTTCCTTTTCAATTTCTTATCAGCTATTTTCTTTCTTCTTTATGTCTTCCAATACCTGTCTGAATCATCATGTTCTGGCTCATCCCATAAGTCTCTTCTCCTTAAATTTTAAATCTATTGCTCTTCTTGGTACAGTTATTATATCCAGTGTTCTTACATGGTGTAGCAATTATCTGAAATGCATCTATTATTTATCTGCCAAGTGTGTTCATTTTATCTCTGCAGTTTTGTAAGAGTATTGGTGAATGGATTTATTAACCACTCATACACACTCCTCAGAACTACAAGTAATTACAGTGCTATCTCTGATTTCCATACTTTACAAATCACTACACGCTAAGTCTTCTCCAACCTGCGGTGTCTTCAACGGCTGTTCCCTAGCAACCGCCTTTATCAGGAGATTCTCCAGCTTCCCATGCTCAGGTCCTATCACATCCTCCCGTGCTGACCTCCAGTGGACTGACAACTCTGGAATTCGACTGCCAATTCTCAACTAACTGGGTCGTCCCAATGATCTTTCTTATAACCCTTTTGCATGGACCTGTTAGAAAACACTGTTTCCAGCAGTAACTCTGTTGTTGTGTGTGTGTATGTATGCACATATATATATCATTACCATTTATACAAATATATTTTCCATGAGTCTGTCCATCTGAATATGCATGAATGTTCATTTTATATTATATTTTAATATCTAAGTATGAAACAGAGATTCTGTATTCATAGTCCTTGCCATTACAATAACTTTCAGGTTATGATGTAAAGGCTCTTGGTGAGAACCTGGACTGGGTGGCAATCATGACCTATGACTTCCATGGTCAGTGGGATAAGAAGACTGGTCATTTGGCACCATTGTATTTCCACCCAGATGATGATTTCTTCTTCTTCAATGCAGTAAGTTGTTCCCACACTTGGCCAATATTATATGTGTACATGTATCTGAGTGCAGAAATCACTATGTCATTAATGTTTTGTACTGGATCTTAACTGTTGTTGGAAAATATTAAGAAGTGATGTACTATGGGTAATAATTTAAAACCAATTTTGAATTATATTATTGTAGCTATTATAAATGTCTGTGATGAATTGTATTTTTAAAAACATATGACAAACGCAAGCTGTCCATATTTATGATGTCAGTATATATACCTACGGGTCTATTTTTCTTATCTGGCTTCCAAATATATATGTTGGTCACCATGAAACAGTGGATGAGTATTTTCTGGTTCATGCCTGTGGCTTTCACCTCCATTCAATATGCAAGATTAATTTCTTCCTGTTAACATACATTTTGTCCTTAACACTCACAGGCAGGCTTGACATAATACAATAATAATACAATAATTTGTGTCCAGTAACATGTACAATGAGATTTTGCAATGAAATCAGTATTTTGCTCTTTATAATTGATACACAAACTAACTGAATAGGTTTTGAATAGTCATGGTCAAACTAACTTGAGACAGTGAAAATCATGAAAACTACGAGTATTTTCACAAAAACAAAATTAGTGTTTTTAATCCATTTGTATTACTTATCATAAGATAACTCATTAAGGGCTCTTATAACCACATATAACTACTGCATCATTGTTTTGAGTTTGAATTCATCGTGTTGTGTAGTACATGTACAGATCTTCTCTCCTTCATATCCTTTGCTTAGAACCTAAGTGGTTTATTCACTCAGGTATTATTCTACTAAATTGTCTTATAAATAATCAGAGTCTTCAAAAACTATATAATACAGCTAATCCACATTTATTATTCTCTTTTCAGAACTACTCTATCAACTACTGGATCTCAGAAGGAGTCCCACGTCGCAAGATTGTGATGGGAATGCCGTTGTATGGGCAGTCATTCCAGTTAGCTGACTCTTCCACAAATGGTCTGAATGCTCGAGCACCGGGACCAGGACAAGCAGGGGAGTTCACACGTGCTGCAGGATTCCTTGCTTACTATGAGGTGTGCTGCAAACTGTGTGGATGCTTAGAAACAATGCAACTATTTTGTTGGTTTCCAAAATTTGTACATGCCTTTTTTCTTTATTGCTAGTGGGGTGGGACTAAGTCCCTTGTACTGCTGCCACTTCTGGCCTATTGTACCAGCCCCAGATGATAGGTGAGGGTGATTGTGGAGCAATTGGTGGAATGAAGATTGGCAGGGGAAACCGAAGTACTCGGAGAAAACCTTCCCCAATGCTACTTTGTCCACCACAAATCCCACTTGAGCAAACCCGGGATCGAACCCGTGCCGCCGCAATGGGAAGCCAGCAACTAACCGCTTGAGCTATGGTGTGGCCCTTCCATGCCTAACATAGGTGGTTACTGCTCATAACATAAGAAAGCACAGCGATTTAAAGTGTTAATCTTCGTTATTATATGTGTCATAAGAAGATATTTTAAAAGTATTCATTTGTGGAACTTCATATCTGGAAAACTTATTTATTAGTTTTATCACTATTAGTTATCAATTTTGATCTACAATCTGACAAGACAAAGGTCTGACGATCAGTTGGTGAGACTCGTGTGGGTATTTCTATGGGAAATGATCTTAGCTGTTACTGTTCCAGTACAAAGTTAAAAAGTTATTCAAATCACTTACTTGAATTCCAGATTTGTGGTTTTTGAACTTATTAAGAGCTTATCTTTGATGTATGAAGTTACTGCTGCTCCATATTTCTAAAGAAAATAAGCAAATTTTGAAGAACTTGGTTCTAAGCAGTTCTCTTTCCTTTCATGATACTATATTTAAGCATCCAATTGCATTAATGTATCTTTTGAACACATAGATCTACACACACAAACAATTTAACAAAGGAGCATGCATAACAACATTGATAATAACACTACATTGACATTCTTATGAACTGAAAAATTAACATGCATAATACCAATCTGCAAATGGAATGCAACATTACTAAATCCAACAACAAGAAATACTCTCAAGCAAATATCTTTTAAATGAATGGATGATGACCACAATGGAAATAACATTAAGATATTAATTAATTTTAATTCCAAGCTTAATTCATTTTAATTATAAAATATCGCGTTTACTCATGATATATAACTTAGACATACAGTGCAACAACACTTTAGCAAGCTAGAAAACACCTGATGATAACCGTGTATGACCGAAACATGTAGTAAGGAAGTAGGGTGACTAGATAAAAAGTTGCATTTAAGACGGAAATATACATGTACAAAAAACCTTTCTTTTCCTTTGTGTCCTTCAATAATACACATGTATTTCTTCCATGGAGATTACATAACTCTAAAAGAACATTTTTTTCTTTTGAACTACAGATAATCGTATGGGATATAATAGATGTAACTGTCCTGATTTCACCACAATGCGCCCCCAGTTTTGAAATGTTTCTTAATCTAGATATGTTACAGATTTTCTTGAATATACAGTGAAGGTTGCTTCATCGGAGCACTGTCTATAAAATTCATTGTAGTGTAGTATTCTTTAACCATTCCCTATGCTATTAAATTTTAACTTTGAATAAGTTTGGGAGGAAATTTATTTCTACCGACTAACTCATGGTCTTCATCCCAGGAAACAGTATTCTCCATAGTTACTGTCATGGTAAGCTCAAATCTAACACACAATATGTACACGATGTCACATCCCAGAAGACAGCATTCCTCCTAATACTCATTTTGTTTGTAGATCTGTGATCGGGTAAAGAATCGTGGCTGGACAGTGGTGCAAGACTCTGAGAAACGAATGGGACCATATGCATTCCATGGCAATCAGTGGGTCAGTTATGATGATGCTGCAACTATTCGGACAAAGGTGACTTATTCTTTCACTACAATTCAGTAATATTAAAATTCTCAGTAGCCTGCAGATGTAATTTACAGTTTATATGATTACATAAACTGAAGTTGGCAAATGAAAAAAAAAACTTACTTAGTCCCCACCAATATATACTATCTAAACACTATACACTATTACACTATATTCAAAACTGTAATTTTTCTCTTTCCAGTTCTCTGTTCCTTGTTTTCTACATCATTCCTAATAGAGAACACCCAAAGCTGTTGTACTCCTGCCAGTATACGAGGGGGGACCCAAAAATAACCGGAACCGACCTGTTGCGCGCGCATGCTTTGTAGTTACGAGTTGTGCTGCTAGGTGGTGTTAGCTGGGGGTCTCCCGCGACTGTTAGTGAGCTGGCGTCAGTCTGAGTTAAGTGGTTTGTCTGTGGTGCTCTGTTGTGTGCGTTCCTGTTTCAACCCTTTGTCGATTAGTGAGATGGCCGACCAGAAGGAACAAAGAGTGTGCATGAAATTGATGAAGATCGTCGAAAGACCATTGACCAACTTTCTGAGGAAACGAACATCTCATGGAGCACGGTCCAGCGAATTTTAACCGAAGGTTTGCACATGAGACGGGTGTCTGCAAAATTTGTTCCTCGCTTGCTCGGAGATGACCAAAGAGAAAACCGCGTGAATGTTTGCCGCGACTTGAAGAGTGAAGTGCAGTTTTCCCTAACAGAAAGCAAAATTTCACGCACACTCTTTGTTCCTTCTGGTCGGCCATCTCACTAATCGCCAAAGGGTTGAAACAGGAACGCACACAACAGAGCACCACAGACAAACCACTTAACTCAGACTGACGCCAGCTCACTAACAGTCGCGGGAGACCCCCAGCTAACACCACCTAGCAGCACAACTGGTAACTACAAAGTATGCGCGCGCAACAGGTCGTTTCCGGTTATTTTTGGGTCCCACTTTGTATGCAGTAGTAGGTGCTGTTAGAGGATTGTGCAAGTATTGCTCTAGAATTTTGAAAACGATTCAAGCCCTCATTCCTCATCTCTCACCACCACCATACTCCTGTTTTAGGTGTCAGAAAGGTGGATCTTTGGTGTATTGACATGGTTCTTTACCCCCCAAGAATCAGACTAAACCAAGACAAGTAAGAAATAGTATGAGACAAGAGTGTACAATGTAGCACAACACTGTACTCAATTAAAATAACTATGGTCTATATACAGTATATATGAATTTTAATATAATATTAGTTTAAGCCTTTTATACATATTTTATGACTCAAATATACAAGTATTAAATACTTAATTTTTATACATATGAAATATAAAATATACCTTTAATGTAGTACATCCCTGAAAATGGTTCTGTATGGCCAAAACATACTTGGGTTTTAACAACACATAATCAACACAAGGATATAAACCAGATGCATTCAGATGGTAATTTGATTCTTATTCTAGTGTGAATAGAATTTATGCAGTATATATTTTAAAGTGGCACATGTATCTTTATATGTATTTAACATATTTGCTTGAATTTTATGCCATAGTCTGAATATATTCGTAAAATGGGTCTTGGAGGAGGTATGGTGTGGGCTCTTGATTTGGATGACTTCCGCAATCAATGTGGTGAAGGAGTTCATCCGCTGCTCAACACAATTCGTGAAGTTCTAGCTGATCCACCCAGAGGAGGGACAGAAGAAGGCTTCGAATGTGAGTCTAAATGCTGGGAAGTTCTGGGGCAGCTTCACAATTTGAAGCTTCTCAAGAAGGGCTCAGCTGCATGAAATTAGTTAATGTTGAATTTGCTGTTTAATATTAATGAATATTCTTATTTTCATCAAGTAATATTTTGCTAATACATTTTCTAAGAATAGATATTTAGTGCTTTCACATGTAAACCAGAGAAAACTTGAAGAAAGCAGTCTTCTGGGATTTTGCACCGTGTATATGTGGTGCCAAATCCCAGAAGACTGCTTTCTTCATAGTCACCACCGTGAAAGCCTCAAATCTTACAGAGAAAACTTCTGTCCCTTCAAACAGCTCCAAAACCACCAAAAGCTCCAACAGTACCTGTTTCAACTGAAAGCCTGCAACAAGTGAGCACTGATGCACCATCATCAGGAAGTGCATCAGAAATTGATTTATCTTCAACTGCAACAGTGACACCAGCAACAGTTGGACCAATTTCTTCAGGTGGCACCTCTCCCACTGGTAGTGATTTCAAAGTTGTTTGCTACTTTACAAATTGGGCCTGGTACAGGTAAGAAGACAACAGTATAAAAAGTCTAAATTAGTAGATAACACTGAGTAACTAAGAGCATAGTCTTTTGCAGTATAATTCTTTGTGAGAAAGACATAGTGACAACAGAAAACAGCATCTGGAGGTAAACATGCTACAGGCATTCTCAGGAATTGGTCAAACCTTTCACTGTCAATGGATAAGTTATAAGTTAATGTTTGTTTGTTTGTATTTTGCTAGTTGTGTACCATTCTGGAAAAAGAGATTTTTGTAGTGACTTCGTTGGTAATCGCACTTTCACTGGCATTTAATTTTAATATTAGAATATCTTAGAAAGATAATTGCTTAAGAAATGACTGAGTTTATTTGATAGAGAAATAATTAAATTCTAAGAAGCCACACTGTTTAATTAGTAATGATGACATTCAGTATTTATTTGACACTACTACCTATCCAGCAACATGCCCTACCATGACATAAGAGTTTCACCAGCTGCGGTGAAGCCTGAAACATTACAACAGATACACCAATCTTGTATTTCCAGCACTCTTAGATATGGACAATGTACTAAATTTGTTCTTGCAGGCAAGGCGTTGGTAAATACCTTCCTAGTGACATAGATGCTGAACTTTGCACCCACATTGTATATGGATTTGCAGTTCTAAATGGAGATCAGCTGATCATCAAACCACATGACAGTTGGGCAGACTTGGACAATAGTATGTATTTTCATTAATCAGAATATTTAAACTTCATGAAACAAACATATATTCTAATGGTAACGTGTTGAGTAATTGTATCCCAGGCTGAGAATGTGACCCCCACACCTTCTATGGACGAGCTAAGTCTGATTTGGGGTAATTTTTTATTCACATTTTATGGCCCAAACAATTAATTCAGCTAAAAACATGTAATTCTTTAACATAAATAATTTCCATATATTCAGACTGTAGTCTCCAGGGTTGTGACACCATGTAGTTTCACAGGCGGATACTGACATTTCGAAGGAATATGCAGCATCCACCTTCAGAATTGAAAGTGTAAGCTGAGGAATTGTCTCACTCATAGTGCAAGGGAGCTCTCACCGAGACCCAAGAGATGAAGTAATGAAATGGAGCCTGATCTGGGCCATTTTAAGGGCTATTTTCCTACCCACCAATTCCATTTTTCCAGATTGGTCTCCATTTCATTGCCTTCTTGCATACTCATGTATAAAAGATGATTTGTCTGTATATTCTTTCTCAGACACTTTGATCTTAAATCCATGTCTTATACCGTTTCATATTCTGTTGAGTGGATTACGAGATAGACAGAACTGCAAGGAGGCATGGCAATGTCTTGCAATTTGTTATTCTTGTTGCTGTTGTTATTGCTGCTGCTGCTGCTATTAACTGATTAATTTTGCAGTTAACCAACCAGTGGTAGATGCATAATCAGCTGAAAATATTAATGGTTTGGCAACTTTTTACGGTAATTCCACACCACTATCTCTTGACTTTTGGCAACAAAAGGTAGTAGAATAAGAAGCATCCATATTTAAATTGAATATAATAGTCTTATTGTTAAGAAAAGCTGATCACAGTGACTGCATCGTCTAAGGCATGAAATGTCATCACCCATTCAAACACTGGGATCATGGGTTCAAATCCCACTCAAGGCATGGATGTTTGTCTGTGTTTGTGTAGGTAGAAGTCATACATCAGGCTCATCCCCAATCCAAGGGTCCTATCGACTATCTAAGAATAAGAAACTAAATTGGAATTAAGTGTTTCACATATGCCCTATTCTCCAAGTGGGAGCAACAAGAATAGGTATATAGATAGATTGTTAAGAATAAATGTGCTACAATAGAATTTCTAAGCATTATAGTACCTTGCTTGTTAGCCAGAATTTGTCAAGATTTATTCATGCGCACAAAAAGTGTTGTGATCCTAAAATATATAAACAAAAGAGAATCAATTATTTTGTAGTGTTCCAAATGTTTTATGTCAACCATGATTCATTTAATTCACATATATTTGTACACTCTGTGTCTTTGAAATCTTAAATTATAAATAAACTTTCTGACTACCACTCTGACTGCTGATTTCAGATCAGTATTTGTTAATTTCCTTCAAAAATGTGTTTTATATAGAACTATCCTGATCAAACTTACACTGCCAGTCTTTAAGTAGTATACACATTTAGAAAACTGTCTTCTGGGGCATAATGTCATGTAATACAGGATAAGTCCACCAACATTTCAGAGGACCATATTGCCTTCATCTTCAAAATCCATAAGTGAGCCAAGCAAGAAGTCAGCAAAGAGCAGGCAGTGAGCTTGCTTCACTTACTCTTGGACCCTGAAGACAGTATGTTCCTCTGAAATGAGAGGACTATTACATCCCAGAAGGTAGTACACTTACAGTCACCACTGTGAGAACCTAAAATTCAACACAATAGCATGAAACCCCATTTAAGTTTTCGTTTTGGAGCAGTAAATTTAAACACTAAACTGAGGAGAATCTGAAATGGAAGGAAAGTTGACAATAACATTATTGGCTTGGGATCTTTGAAATTGAATGTTAAATGAGAGAAAACCTTCATTTAAGGAACATTTATGGGAGTACAACTGTACATACATTTCTCTGTGCAGAATTCTATGAGAAAGTGGCAGCATATAAGGCAAAGGGGTTGAAAGTACTAGTGGCTATTGGAGGATGGAATGATTCTGCTGGAGACAAATACAGTCGTCTAGTGAACAACCCTAGTGCAAGATCACATTTCATCAGTTATGTCACTGACTTCATAGAAAAACATAATTTTGATGGCTTGGATCTGGATTGGGAATACCCTAAGTGTTGGCAGGTATAAAATAACTTCTCTTTCCATGCTTATTATTAATGCACTCAATTGTAAACAAACATGGATAACATTCAGGATAACATTAGATTTTCTGTTCACTCTGGCCTTCTCAGTTTCAAGATAAAAGTATTCCTCATCTTATGTAAATCGAGAATTGACATGATTTCACATTAATTTTATTAATTTAACCTTTTAATGAAGAAATTCCATATTTCAGCATACTGTGTGTAAATCTTTAATTAAACGTCTATGAATCCACAGTCCGTCAATAATGCAACAATTGTTTATTCACCATTTAGCACTTAACACAGCATGTTTTGGCCATACATGGCCATCTTCAGGTGTCTTAATGCATCCAAACTGTTACACTGCACATAAGAGCAGAGCATCAGATTATCATGTGGCACCCTTTTTCTGTTAGGTTGATTGTAGGAAGGGTCCAGACTCTGATAAAGCAGCATTTGCAGCGTTTGTAAGAGAGCTGAGGGCTGCTTTCAGACCAAAAGGATATATGCTGACAACAGCTGTTTCACCAAGCAAGGTTGTTATTGATGCAGGTAATATGCCATATATATAGTCCCATTTTGTTGTTCAAGCTGTTGGAGTTTTGAAGTAGCTCATATGACATGTTTTCCTTAAAAAATGGCCTAAAATATTTGTTTATATTGATTGAATTGTATTTCTCGCCTGGTGTGTGATTTCCTATATCCTTTTATTAATATCTGGCTACAAAATTATTGTTTGAATAGGTTATGATGTTCCTACTCTGTCAGAGAATATGGACTGGATTGCAGTGATGACATATGATTACCATGGACAGTGGGACAAGATTACAGGTCATGTGGCTCCCATGTATCCGCATCCTGATGATATAGATGTCACTTTCAATGCTGTAAGCCATCATTTAATTTTCCCATTTAATTTCTCATATTCTCACACATAGTAAGTGTGAGAAAGTGTGTATTGCGATCATGAAATAAATTAATCTCAAGATTTGAATGGACTTATACATTTTCAGCCCTCCTGACTACAAAAGTGCTTTTGGAATGCTGTCTGTCTGTCTGCCTGTATATATGTATGAATGGATGGATGGATGTGCACCTTGCTAGGACTTGAACAAATGGACAGAAATTATTCACATTCGTTATTAAAGATTTTGTTCATCCTAGGTCAGTACCCTGTGAATCTAGACATTCCAACTCCAAAAATAAGCACTCGTCAGATGGGCCCCAAATCACAAAATGGCGATTTTCTTGAAAATGACTCTATTCATGTAATATTGATGTTCCGCAATATTTTTATGTGGTTTCTTTTTTGAGTAAACCTGATAACAGCATGCTAGTATATAGTAAGAAACTAAGATTCCTAGCTGCAGGAAGTTCCAACTATAAATGCGTAATCTAACTCTCACATTGTGAATTCCCACTACCAAAATACGTATTTATTTTGTTTTAAATTTTCTAGAACTTCTCAATCAACTATTGGATTAAACAAGGAGCAGACCCTAAGAAGATTGTGATGGGCATGCCCATGTATGGACAATCATTCAGTCTGGCAGACAATAACAACCATGGGCTCAATGCACCAACGTATGGAGGGGGAGAGGCTGGGGACTCCACTCGAGCCAGAGGATTCTTGTCTTACTATGAAGTAAGTTGATGTAAATATATCCTGAATTTAAGTCACAAGCAATCACATGAATGGAAGTAAATATTTACAAATATATAGAACTTTATGATTTATAATTATAATTGCCATGTGCAGTATGTGCATATGTATGTCTGTAGGCTCAGAACCATTTCATCGCTGTATTTGGAATTTTCCAGATTCTGGAAATTCTTGTAATTTAGAATAAGTTAGAATTTCATCTAAATAGAGGCATGCTGTAGCGTAGTTGGTTGAGGCACCATGCTACAAGCAGGAAGGTTGTGGTTTTGATTCCCAGTGAGGTCACTGGATTTTTCAATTGACCTAAACTTCCAGCCACACTATGGCCCTGGGATTGACTCAGCCTCTGACAGAAATGAGTACCAGGAATCTTCCTGGGGGTAAAGGGTGTCTGGCGCATAAGTCTGACAACCTCACCAACATCTGTGAGCTGACTGTCCAGAAAATGTGGAAGCCTCGACAGCTCACAACCCTATGGGCCTCCACGGCCTGTTATAGGGATACTTTTACCTTTTACTTTTTATCTTCATCTAAATGTGTTCACATAAAAATCATTCTACAAAATACAAAATTTGAGACTCACAACCATAATTTTTATTTTCCAAATGAACACTTGTGGTTACAGCCCTTGTGCAACATCCACTCTGACAAGAGGATGCGTCTGTCATTTACATTTACTGCTGGTCCTTGCCAGTGCAGTCATTCTCAGGTCCATGGCCCACAGGACTCATGACCACATTTAGCTCTCTCACATTCAAGACTCCCCCAACACACCATGGACTTCTTATGTAGTCTTGGCACAAACCACATAGAAAACACCTCTCCAAGACAGTTCTTCTATTGTTGCTTTATGTAGCATTATGGACCATGTAGAGAACGCTGCTTCCAATTACTCTATCCTCTTGTTGCTGTGGAATTATTGTGTTCATGTCTGTTGATGGATCCGTTACCTAGCAATGGGTCTAAGTGCCACAGTATCAACAGAAATAACTTAATACTTAACTGAAGGTATTAAAACCTTCTGATAAGGCACTTGAATATGTTTGCTTTCCATCAGCCTTCTTACACTGAATTTTGATTCATCATACTTAATTAAACTGTTAACAATTTTCTGTTCTTAATTTCCTTCTAGATCTGCACAAATATTCAGAAGAGAGGCTGGAAAGTAGTGAAAGATCCAGAAGGTCGAATGGGACCATATGCTTATTCAAAAGACCAATGGGTGTCATTTGATGATGCAGGCATGATCCGATACAAATCCAACTATATTCGCCATATGGGCTTGGGTGGTGGCATGATCTGGGCCCTTGATCTTGATGATTTCCGAAATGCTTGCTCATGTGAACCCTACCCATTACTCCGTACTATCAACCGAGTCCTCAGAGGTTATCCAGGTCCTGGACCAAAATGTGATATCAATGCTGACGGTTCCAAAGAGAAGAGTAAGTGCCATTTTGATCTCTTATTTTACCAGACTTTATTATTTGTTATATAGTATATTAGGCATATTAAATACAGTAGACAGTAACATTTAATGGCTCAGCTGTAATAGAACCAGTGATGGTATCTTTCCTAATTTATGTCATCAAATATTTGTTAATAGTGTAGAAATAAAGAATGCAATTCTCTGGGATCTGTTGCTGTAGAGTTCTTGTGTGAACCAACGATTCAGAGGAATGTATCGCCTCCATCTTCAGGGTAGAAAGGTCTGTGAGTGAGGAACCAGCATGAGCAGGTGGCTAGCAGACTGAGCCATCAATCGAAAACACCCAGTTATATAAGAACAGGGAGAGAGGGAGAGGGGTCCACATGGGAATTCAATAAAGGAGAGCAGTAGGGTCAATAAAGATTAGATAGGAAGTCCAGGCAAGTAGGTAGCAGAGAGCAGATAAAAGCATGTAGAGGAAAGTTGTTATAGATGGGGAAAAAGCCAGGGCTACTGAGTAAGCATCGACCCAGTAGCCTTGGGGCTAGAGCTGCCGAGCGTGTATTTACCTGTGTAGCCTTGTATATCTGGCGTCATGTTCAGGAGGTTTCTTGAGGGAGCAGATGAGAGGCTTCCATGACTTGTCTCAGCAAGTCGCTTAGTAGCCCTGGCTTTTTCCCTGCCCCTGACAAATTTCCTCTACCTACTCTGACCCACAATCTTCTACCTCCTCGCCTGGCCTTCCCACCTGATCTCTATTGACCCTACCCATCTCCTATATTGATTTCCCATGTGGCCCACTCTCCCTCCCTCCCTCTGTTCTTATATAGCTGGCTGTTTTTGACTGGTGGCTCAGTCTGCTAGCCACTTGCTCATGCTGGTTCCTCACTAGCAGATTTCTCTACCCTGAAGTTGAAGGCGATAAGTTCCCCTGATATGTCGGTTCACACAAGATCTACATGGCACCACATCCCAGAAGATGGCGTTCTTCATAGTCACCAATGTGAAAACCTCAAATCCTACACAGTATAGAAATATGAGTATAAGAACATACAGAGAAGCCTCTGAAGAGACAAGAATTTATAGCCAAAAGTGAGAGATGCCCATGGCTAAGAGTGTGTTATTTACTCAGCTTTAAACCTAAAAAACTCCATTATTTCCCCTTAAATAAAAAGAAACTCTTCCAGATGAATGATAATTACTGTAGGATTACTGTGTTGTCTTTTGATTATTAATACTGTAATTAAAAAACTCCCAAAATTAAAAGTCAAATTCATGCACTATTTGTCTGTCTCATATTTGTTGAAGTATTTTCAGTTGTAAGATAGACATAGTCTGACTTCTAATCTTGTATTTTATCCTGTACACTGAAGCCACTGGCAAGTGACGATAGCTCTGTTTTGATCAAAAGATGACTAGAAGTGACCAAAGTGACCAATGTAGTTAAAAATAAATAATAACCTTTTCTGTATCACTTTGTTAATACTTCTGTAAGCCATATTTCTTGGATTGTTTTTCTTAAAATCTAAGGTTTCATGTTTCACTAGATTATGACTCTTACTCCTCTGTTTTTATCTACCTGGACTCAGTACCAGATATTACTCTTTCAGTGGTGTTTCAAATAAATTATAAAACAAATCTTATTCATGATACAGGAAGACATCTTAATTATAATATTGTTTTATATTATTCTCTAGTACCTGACAATCATGTGCACTACCCCAGTTGGACACTTGTCTCTGAAGGATTAATGAGAGATCCAACTTGCGGTGGAAAGATCTTTGCTCCACATCCCAGTGATTGCCAAAAGTATTACCTGTGTCAGTTCGGAGTGCCTACAGAACAAACATGTCCCGGAGGCCTCTACTGGAACAAGGTAAACTCTGAATTTAATTTAAATAAGCTGTCTCTAGTTGCTGTACTAGAAGAGAACAGACCAGAAGTTTGTTAGTATCAACTCATAATGACTAAACCACATGCCTTACTTTGCTTTGACTGTAATTTGAAAAGATAAGCTGTGCACAGATAATAGATTTACTGTATTTGTTTCACGAATAATTTGGAAAAGTGTATTCCATAACACAGATAGATGCACAGAGGAAAACCAAAGTACTCAGAGGAAACTTTACATTCATGGGTACTTCAACATACTCGTAAATTCAAAATATACTTAAAACCCACTTTTCACCTTCATGCATTCTTTGCACATTGTGTAAAAATAGATGACATAGAAGAGGGGTTTTGGCCATCTGAAGAATACTGTCTACTGGGATGTGATACGTATTGTAATGGAAATGTACCCATGAGGTGGCCTCCCCATAAAGGATAACTTGGATTTGAAGTTCTCATGGCAGACATGGAAACACATCCCAGAAGATTGTACTCTTCATAATCATTGTTATGAGAACCTCAGATTCAGACATCTATCCACATGTTTCATGCTGAGAACCCACTGGACAGATTTTGGTGACCTTAAGCATGAATGTTATACCATTGGAGGCCACCTAAAACTATACTTTTCATGGCCTAGAGTTGGTAATAACAACGCAGTAGTAACATGAACTTGAAAGGTTGGAGCAACGATAGTGCCACATTATTTAGGAACCTGAAATGACATGTTCTAATAGATCTTTTATGTAGGGGTCAGACCTCTCAAATTTGGCATCCCTGGGGCCAGGCCAGAAATGGACCAGAAAATTTTCCAAACTGTACATGGTCAATATATTACAGTACCAAACACCTAAATAGTTGATAAATAACAGATGCCAATGCTGTATATATTCTGTGCCATTATTGATGGATGTAAACAAAAACAGTCAATTATTGACATCTAGCTCCAGTGAGAGGAAGTGGCCATCCAGCAAATTAAATTCATGCCTGACTAAAAGGTGCCGCCAGACCACAGAATGTTGAATTTGAAAGGTCGGACATAAATTTTATCATTCACACATTTGAGTAAATGGTAGTAGTAACCATAACTATAAGAATAATATGAAGTAGGAATAAATATAACCATAATAATGACTTTACAAGCTTTGAGGTATGAACATGTACTAAAACAAAAATTTGTTGGTGACAAACAGATAATGTTGTATATATTACATGCATTGAATTAGGCTGATTATATCATGGAACTAACTTACATAATTGAATGATGAAAGAAGTTATATGGAACATTCAGGAGCACTTAGAATGTCAGTATGTAAAAAATTGTGTGCACTCTGGTATGTATTGCACCATTCCAGTCTTGTTTATATCTTAGAATATCTAGTGTCCACTGGCTGGCCATGAAGAGATTTGCAGAGCAAAAATATATAAAATTGGAAAAGACTGATTAACGATACTTTCTGAACTGCAAAGGTTCTTCAGGTATATGGTGAACTGGGTAAGACATGAAAGGCAGCAGTCATGGCCTATTTAAGGTACTGTCCCAGCATTTACCTAGGGTAACTGGCAGAAACCATAAAATAGTCAGCCTCTAAGCCAAGAATTGATCAAAACTGATCAAAATTAGAAAACATACGAAAGGAAAAATATCCAGCTAAATGCATGAATGCCTTCTTGGAAAGTCTGGAAAGAAATTAACTGAATTTAGACACATACAAATCTTGTAAACTCAGAAGAAAGGAAACATGCAGATATGTAGGTTGCTTACAAGAAATGTCTTGAAATTTAGGTATTCCATGTCATTAAAATCTCTAAATCACTTCAGTAAGATAGTAGTTCATTACTTTTATGTTGCAGAGGTGCAGTGTCCATTTTATAAGCACACTTTATATCACTGTAATGAGGATAATCTAAACATGTTCTAATAGTATATATAAAATCTATCAGAATTCTGATCAGACAAGTTGGCTCAGGTAGTAACACTTCTTATTTTGTTAATGAGGTGACCAGTTCAAATCTCGGCTGGGATACTATCCAAAGTAAGGTTTTTTCATGATTTTCCTTAATTGCTACATGAAGAAACGAGGACAGTAGTCAAAATTAGGCCATGGCCACTTCCTTCCATAGCCATTCTAATTCAATATTCATTAGTCATCTTCTCATTCAGCTGCATATTGTCTTGTGAGATATGCACAGCATCATTAAATAAACCATATTATTATTATTATTATTATTATTATTATTATTATTAGAGGGGGTGGGTTTCCCCATGCACTTAGACCAGTTATTGGTCCATTGTGCGTCCCCCTTTAATTTCTACTGTCGCCATACCCTACCGGTACTGGTGCGTGCTATCAGCCCCGTTCAGCCAACGAGGTCGGCCCTCGGTACCTGATATTTCCCCCATCTACCAGAGGCATTGGAAACTACTTGGGCGTGAAACTTGTTGCCTAATTTGCTCAGAAGTCTCCTAGAGACATGAGGATCTTTTACGTGCTGTAAAAATAAACCATGAATAAATAAACTATCAGAATTCTGGACTGATTCCTGAAATTTTGTATTATATTTAACATCTGTAGGATCACTGTGATTGGGCAGAGAACACAAAATGCAAGTCAGTGGAAGCTGGAAGTGGTGACATCAAGCCAACAACCTCTCCTCCAACATTTTCACCAACACCCACATTTACTGAGCTTACAACTGCAACAAAACCAAGTACACCTGGCACTGATGTTACCGTGCCTCCCAAACCAGCTGACACAGGATACAAAGTTATCTGCTATTTTACCAACTGGGCATTTTACAGGTGAGAAATTAAGTTAATGAGTGATCAGTATAATCAATCAACTTACTGAGAGTCAGTACAGTTCCTTTTTATTTATACTGAGAATTTAAACTAAAACACGCATGCTTACTAAGTTCACGACATCTCACTGCACATGGCTGTATTATGGTCATTCAGTATTAACATATCATATAGCAATAAATGGGCTAAGTGTACTGAGACCCAGAAACTCAGTATATAAAACTGATGTCAGCAAATTATTATATATTGTGACATGTTGCGCAATGGAGACCCCCTCCCTACCCAGCAGCCACGTGGCAACTCAGGCCACAGTGACATGGCGGATGAGTCAGCACTCCCCTCCCCCCCTCCGCATGGTAACGTAACGCGCAACGCACGGTGACGTAAAACGGCGTGAGGTAACAGCGTTGCTACATAACAGGCCCACACAGCCCCTGTATAAGAGAGCTGCGCTTCCTGCGAGGAGAGTAGTTGTAATGTGGCCATCGCCGAGTTCTCAGTTCGCAAGTTACGAGTTACAGACGCGTGTGCGAGTTCAGTTGTAGTCGAGTTAACTTGTAGCCATCCCCGGAGAGAGTTAGAGTGTGTTATCAACAGCTCTCAAGGCAGCAGCCTGCGAGTCGAGTTGAAATATAGCAGCCGTCGCGGAAAGAAGTACCGGACGTCTGTGTAACTGAGAATTAATTGGGAGTGTGATACAGTTGGACTTATATAGCTTCCATACTTTGAAAACATGTTGACTACTGACAATAGAGTGATTTGATTTGTCAATAGGGTTATAAAGTGTAAAACCCCGCAACATTGTGATAATTAATTGTAGCCGTTAATTGTAGGTTGTTGAATAAACCAGTTAACAATCCGAACGGCGTCTTCAGTAACTAAACATGTTACACTGGTGTCAGAAGTGGGATATGAACTTACACACGTGACGAACAAGATTCAGACGACAAGACACGTGACAGTATTTTCATATTCATATTTTTATTGGTTCCAGAAATCCACATTTTGCAATACAGCCTCCAGATATAGAACAAGTCAGATTATTTGTATAAAAGTCAACAATACTATAATATTTAACTACATACACAAATTGTGTACATGTCCAACATACCATATAAAACTATATTAAAAATATAAGACAAAATAAATTCCCCAACAGAGTAACCAATTCAGTCCATTTCACATCAATCAATCAATCAACCAACCAATCCAGTCTTCCTTCCTCGTCAAATCACTGTCATAGGAAAACATTTCATATACATTAAACATACAATAGTTCAATTTCTATAATTAAAAATAAATACCCCCCTTTCACAAACATACCATCTTTAATTTAACATATATTCCTCTACAGAATAAAACATATGTTGTACCAAATATGACCTCGTTACTTTTTTAAACTGTCTCATTTTTTCTGTCTTCATAATTTTATTTGGTATTTTATTGTATAATTTTATTCCCATGTTCAGTACTCCTTTCTTTTAGGCATTTGTTCTGCAAAACTGAGCATGGAGATTTAATTTCTGGCGTGTATTGTGATTATGAACTATGTTATTTTGTTCTAACTTTTCTAAATGCAGTTTAACATGGCATACTATTCCAAATATATACATACAAGGTAGCGGAAGTAAGTTTAAATCCTTACAAAGTTGTCTACATGATACTAATATACTCACACCACTAATTATTCTAACAATTAATTTCTGCAATTTAAATATAATTTTACTTTTTGGGTCGCTACCCCAGAAAATTAAACCATACTTCAAATAAGCATGGAAGTGAACAAAGTAAATACTCCTTATAACCTGACGTCTTGTTATATCCCTAAGCGATTTTATCATGTAACAGACTTTACGAAGTTTTGAGCTTAAGAACATCATATGTGCTTTCCACTCCATATGCTCGCCAACATGTATACCTAGAAATTTCGTTTCACATTTATAGGAGATCTCCATTTTGCCAAATTTGATTTGAGGTTTCATCAAATCTCTTTCTTGTCTATTATGAAATGCCATTGCTATTGTTTTCTCAGTATTCAATATAAGATTCATATCTTAGAAATAATTAACTTCTTTTTTTATCTAAACCTCTTTTTACATAAACACATGCTCCTCCATGGCCACTTGTTACCCTACAGAATGAGTTTGCTAATTTAAATTGCGTAAAGTTCATGTAGTCTATTTGCTGCTCTTTATAGGCATTATGTTTCAGAACAGTCAATGACTCACTGTCTCAGTGGCCTATTAAGATCTTTTCAGCTTGTTCTCAGTTGCTGCTACAATTTCACTGCACCCTACTGTGCTGTCTTCTTCTTGTTACATGCACTGTCAGCACTGAACATACACACTGTTCAAAATTTGTTTTTCTACATAATCACTATACACCATTCAACAGCTAACAGTCGATTCAACTGCTCTCTTGAGAACTCCACAACAATTTTATAGAGGCAAAGTCACTCTGGAAAGATTTTGCTGGTTTCCAGTCTTCTTCAGCCATTAGCCGTTCACAAAGAATCTGGAAGCCAAGGGGGGGGATTGTGCAGCATAATACAAAGCATATTAAATATATATTAGAATTATGCTCCTCTTATGCTGTAACCATTTCAGGTAGTCAGCCATGTCATGATGGAGCCAAGGCCAATGTTTTGAGACTTGCTGGGTTTCCATCATCAGGGTTAGTGTAAGGTTTGACTGTCAGTTGCTGATACATGTATTAGTTAGGCATGTTCCTTCCTTATTAGTTCACGGGCTAACAGGACAGTTGTCAGTCTGAGCGGTTCCCATTCTCAATGTAGACCTGGTTCTGTGTTGCTAAACCTGTAAAATGGTCTTCCATCCACTGGCTGACCTTCACACATCCACCCTGATGAGAGATATAGAGAAGTCTCCAAATGTTGGTTTTACCTCAACCATGATATCAATGAACGCCCAAGAAGATTTTATTTAACTCATTTATTCGCCATGAAAACTTCAGATCTTAACTTATGCTTTATTCAGTTTGAATATGACCTCAGCATATTACATACACAACACAATTTATTTAATTTATTAATTTTTTTTTCTGTGATATGTAATTGGTGAACTGAATTCAGTTTCATAAGTGCATATCTCTATGTTAAACAAAAGCAGTGCATAGCACAGTCTTCTGGATTGTAATGCTGTGTAGTTTAGTAGAATTCCACTGATTTTCCTTTGGAAAGTCAGTGGAATTCTACAAACTACACACCCTTACAACCTAGAAAGTCGTGCTGTTCACAGTCAGCACTATGAGAACCTCATATCCAGAAATACCGAGGGCTGGAAAGCCTTGTAAAATTTGTAAATAAATTTGAGTTCTTGGTTGAACACTATTTTAATTTCTACTTAGTGTGCTCTTGACTAAGACATTGACTTATTAAACATATAGATCACAACACCACAGAAACAAACAATGGTAAGGTAAGGTAAGGTATGATAAGATAAAGTTATCCCTCTGCTTAACTAGTTAAGCACTATGCCATGAGGACATATTGTGGAGTGGAGGTATAGCTCGATCATTCTTGATCTTGGCACTAGACAGAGGTGAGTGGTCAGCTTTAAGCCCCGGCTGCTTTACCGCCAGGGAAATAGCCCCTGGTATCCATTGAGTAGGAGCCTGTGTGGGCCCCAGAGCTGGTCTGGACGCTGTGGAAAAGAGAAAAATCTTGCACTGCCAAGAATTGAACCTGGGCTGTTCTGCCCATAGCCCGTTGCCATACCAAAGAAAACTAAAATGAAAGAACACTACTCATAAGGTTTTCATTTTGAATTTTGCTTTCCAGTAATGTTCAGCAAGGATTAAAATTGTTAGAACTGAACAGGCCTTCATGTGTTATATTTGCATAACGGGCTCAATCTGAAGCAAGGAAATTGTGACCTGTAAACATATAATTGGCAACAGCCCCTTGTGGCCAGATTTATTTATTTTTCTGCATTGTACTTCTTCTTACAGGCAAGGTGTTGGAAAGTATGTCCCAGAAGACATTGATTCATCACTGTGCACGCACATAGCATACGGTTTTGCTGTGATGGACGGAGGCACACTTAACATCAAACCTCATGACTCCTGGGCAGACATAGATAACAGTGAGTTCATTAACTTCCATTGTGCACATCAGAAGCTTACAGACCTGTTCTGACAACATAATCATCTAGCTGGTGGAATTGCTTCAGTCTCCATTCTTCCAGCATTTATTGAAAGACTTATTCTGGAATATTTTCATACTTCATGTTATATCATCATATTAGCCATTATTCCTTTAACTCTCTACATTTTCCATTTTTTAGATTTTAGTATAATTGCTCTCTAATATTTTCATTTCTTATATTTCTCTAACTTTTGATGGGTTTTAGCAGTTCTTAAGAATTTTATTTCCATTGCCACTTTATGGTTTCATTTTCACTTTCTGAGCCAACTTTCACTTCCATCGAAAAAAATTACTGATTTTGATCACCTTTTATACAGTTTAGAATATGTGTTTTTTCCATCTCATAAATGTACCCATATGTATATATCATTTTAGTGAATTATCACTGTTCTTTTCACAGCTTTTATACTTCAACTTATACTTTGCTAGCAACACTAACACCACTCATTTTGGGCCCTAAATTGATGTGTATTAAGAGATCTTCGAATATTCAACTGGTGCAACTTCCAAAATCAAGTAACCTGTAGCACAATTATAGAAAGCATCATAACAGTACTGAACAGTAGCAAAAATATTAGCAATAGTAGCCCAAGTAACCATAGTAATGACTTAACTTCTTGGTGGGGAGAAGATAATATTGCATATTTTTCATATATTTTTAGTTTGATTATGTCATGGATGAACAGTAAAAGAAGTGAGTGCAGAATCAGTGAAGAGAGAAGCTACATATTTGAAACTGCTGGAAAATTTGTTCAGCATTAAGCTTCATGCTAAGTAATTTCCTTAATTTTGTCCTGCAGACTTCTACCACAAGGTAACAGGATTCAAATCACGAGGTGTGAAAGTACTGATTGCAATTGGTGGCTGGAATGATTCTCTGGGAGACAAGTACAGCCGGCTGGTAAACAGTCCATCATCCAGAGCAAATTTTATAAGGACTGTTCTCGAGTTTATTGAAAAGTATGGCTTTGATGGACTTGATCTTGATTGGGAATATCCCAAATGCTGGCAAGTAAGTCTGTGATCACTCCTATGCCTGTGTCTGTATTGCTGCTACATTAACTTCATGCTTCATTTTAATAAGATTACAATCTTATGTACTGTGATGTATAGGTAGAAATGTTTGAGAGTAAACTGTGACCTCTGGTACAGGGTAGTCTCTTCTGGATAGCCTAAACCCTGAAGGCCCTGAGACAGAGATTTTCTCCAAAACATTGGTACACATATATCAGACTACACAGCCTCACATTCCAGAAGACCATTAATTTAATACTTTTCACTGCGAGAATGTCAAATCTCATAATACATTCCATGATATGGAGAAATTAGTTTTTAGTGAGTACTGATTTTTTTTATTGTTATCATTCATCGATCCATTGAGGCACATAACCTGATATTGTCAGAAGATTACATTGATATATTATATAAGATTGTCTTAGCATAAGATAAATAAGAATTAAAATGTATGTAAGAAACCAATGAATGCAAACTAAAACACAAAGCTATAATTACAGGGATACCCCAAGATCATAATTATTATTCCTATCAAGATACTCTTCAACAGAATAAAAAGAGTTTGCATATAAGAAACTTTTTCAATTTATGTTCAAATTCTAATATCATTGCTTTATTTCTGTCAACTTCACTGATGTTTTTAACTCAGTACAAATACAACATATGTGAAGTCAGGTACAATGCTTTGAGGGTCAAGGGCCAGTCATAAAGCATAAGCACCAATTATTTAATTTACAAAGTTAATTTTCTTGGAAGAAACAAGGCAGCATGTGAATAATTATTCAAGTTCATGCATTATGTTCCAACATCACATTTTACTAATCTTACACTGAGTGAATAACATCAATTTAGTATATCTGAGAAATGCCACAAAAGATATTTGAACCTATGGTATAATGAGGACCACTGGCATTTTGGTTCACTCACAAGATGTAAATGATGAACCAGCAGAGCCAACTCTCAGCAGTTTTCAGAAATACTATATATGTGGTTTCAGTCATAATCCTATGCATTGATGTTTCATATAATGCATGGAGTAAATTAACAGTGTTATCTAACTTCTCAGACCACCCCCATATGTGCTCTTTGCCTAAAATTATACAGATTATTAAATTAAGAACAATGAGATTGGACAGATTGGCAAAGAAAATGATGAGAAGACAGAAGAGTGTCAGTTCTGTTTGTAAAGCTATGGTCTGCTTCTATCTAGGTGGATTGCAATGCAGGCCCAGATTCTGATAAAGAAGGATTTGCTGCACTGGTTCAAGAACTGAGTTCTGCTTTCAAACCAAAGGGGTTGCTTTTGTCTTCTGCTGTATCACCCAGCAAAGTGGTCATTGACGTTGGTAAGGGAGCAGTAATTCATATTTTGTAATAAGGAAATAAAATTCTTCATGTGTATAGTACACAAATGAGCAAGAAACAAGAAACAGGTTAAGTACTGTATATGAAGAAAGCAGTCTTCTGGGATGTGGCGCCGTGTAGATGTGGTGTTAACTGATGTTTCGGACGAACGTATCGCCTCTGTCTTCAGGGTAGAAGGAAAAATAAGAAAATCTGCAAGCGAAGAGACAGTGAGAACAGATGCAAGCAGACTAATGTCGGAAATAAACTCAGCTATATGAGAGCAGGAAAGGAAGGGACAAGTCTACATGGGAAATCAGTGGAGAGGGAGAGGGGAAGGGTCTGGGGAGCCGTAGCAAGATTAGAGCAGGTATAGGATATTGTGTCGGGGGAGAAAGGCAAGGTTAATGGGAGGGCATTAACCCTTAACACCACATCTACACGGTGCCACATCCCAGAAGGCTGCTTTCTTCATATTGACTGCTGTGAGAACCTCAAATCTTACAAGTACTGTATATGTTTATAGTATCTGAGCAGACATCTCATATCTACCACATTATATTTTCATGCAATTGAATTTAGTTTCACATCTCTGTAAACCAGAAAGAAAATCTGATGTCACGTATCTTGTAATATTTCTGAATTCAATATCTTCACAGTTTCTCTTCCTAATAGTTACATTCAAAAGACAGCAATCAATTTTGAATATTTATGCTAGCTACTGGAGAGACATGAGTACTGAAATAAAAAAAAACTGATTCATTTTGAACACAGCAATAATAGACTAATTATATTAAATATTACACTTCCATGAGTAAATCAGAAATAATCAGAAATTGGTGTAATAAAAATTTGGTATTCTTGTCATTGTCATCATTATCATCATCTAGCACAGAATTACTGAATTTTCAGAATAGAAAATATGTCACTTTCCTAGTAAATGATACCTAAAATCTTCATATATCTAATAACCCAGAAAATATTATACTTGAAATTAATTATTTATGATTTTTCAGGATATGATGTGCCAAAACTAACAAAGTACTTTGACTGGATCTCTGTGATGACATATGATTTTCATGGTCATTGGGACAAACAGACAGGTCATGTGGCACCACTGTACTATTATCCTGGTGATACATATGATTACTTCAATGCTGTAAGTATGAAGTTCCTAACTGTCATTTCATCATCAATGTCACAGCTACATGTAGTATAATCATCTATGATCCATATCAAGCCTAAAAAGAAATATTGTGGCCAGCAAGAAATGCGTAAACAAGCAGTAACATAAGTTTTTACAAAACTTTTAGTAATCTTAAAATGTGGCTAGGAATTGATCTAGTATAAAGTCCTGTTTCCTGAGTTCTAGTGTAAGAGTAATCTGCTTGTGTCAAAAGACACTATACAAGATCTGAAAGTAGAAACACTATAAGGAAGTTGGTGAAATTAAGTATACAGTGGTACAGCTATGTGTTACATGGTATGACAGTAGGATTCCTTTGAGAGACTAAAAAATGAAAATGTTAAATGAATTGCCATTTTTGAGATGAAGGACAGAAAGTGGCAAGTGAGTCAGAGTTGCAGTGTAGCAGTAGTAACAATGGCAACATACCTGTAGTAATGACAGTAACCAGTGTAACCTTTAACAGACTTTGATCTTTTTGAAATGTACATGCACCCAAATGTGAATTCAGAATGCCAAAGTGCAAAAAAATGTGGAAATCATATACTCTGGATTTGTTCCTTCTAAATCTTGCTTTATATCGAGTTCCAGTTCCTTTCAGTTACAAGTGACTTACATGTTCCTTATACATACATTTGAACAAAATTCAAGAATAGTCTTTTCATCTGTTTTTACAGAACTTTTCAATCAATTACTGGCTTGAGAAAGGTGCAGACAGAAAGAAGATTATAATGGGGATGCCCATGTATGGACAATCATTCACCTTGGCTGATGCCAATAAAAATGGACTGAATGCTAAAACATATGGCCCAGGCCAGGCTGGAGAATTTACAAGAGCAGGAGGTTTCTTAGCTTATTATGAGGTAAGCATCATATAAATGAGCAGATTTATTTTTATTTATAGTTTAGTCTAGGTTCAATCAGCTTCAGAATGGGAATTAGACCAAGTGCTAGAATAAATACATACACTTTTAGTAATATATTTTTAATACAGGTAAAAACACATACACAAACAAACAGGCACGTTCATTTGAACTGGGAACTAATTTGTTCATATGTCACGCTTCACTTCTTTGATATAAGTAATTAAAAACAAAAGCAACAATTTCAAGCCCTGATATAATTCATTATTATATTGTATAAAATGGCCAGAATTACGCGTGCAGGCCCCATGCTAACTATCTGAGGAATGAAGTTTACTTGGCTACAAATTATTATCCTAAGTTCCTAATTAATGGCCTGGGGCTTCCAATAAATTTATTACTTTATTGTTCTCATTTCAGAATGCAATTTTACCTGCCCGCCCTCTTTACATCCATATTGGAATTTTTATTATCATGTTTTTACTATAACAGATCGTTATAATTATTTTTCTTTTGTAATTTTCTTACAGATATGTCATGCTGTGAAATCACAAGGATATACACAAGTGCGAGATCCAGAGGGTAGGATTGGTCCATATGCTTATAAGGGGAATCAATGGGTGTCCTATGATGATGTTTCTGATATCCGAAGGAAGGTATGTACTTTATAAAATACTGTTTGATATTCTTTATTATTCTTAGGGTGGGGTGAGACTGAATCCCTTGATACTTGCACCATAAGTAGCCCTTTCATCAACCACATAAGAGACACGAAGCACTTTGTGGTATTACAGTTGGCAGGGGAAGCTGAAGTCCTTAGGGGAAACCTGCCCAAGTTCCCCATTGTCCACCACACATTCTACATGATCTGACCTTGGACTGTAACTGCCTGAGTTGTGACATGTCATTGTTTCATATTACCAGATTCTACTGTCACTGGGTTTCTCTGAGTTTATTTAATGGTGCTGTCAGTGTATCAGACTATACAGGACCAAATGTTTTAATGATAATAAATAGTGAACTATAAATTTTGCAGAAGGAAGTGACTGTGACCTTTTAAGCTTTAAACGTAGCATTTAATCCCCAGCATACTGACTGATAGCCTGATTTTTAGTTCACTGTTAAAAGTTAAATATTATAGTGTGGCATAAGTGCATCCTTTATGCCAAAGAGATTTCTGCATGCCATTCTAAAAATACAAAGAGTGAGCTTATCATATGATAATCTTCACTTGTCAGGCTCAGTAATTAATATCTGCTGAGACATGAAGCTTACATAGCCAGCTTTTCAGTGTATCCAGCATTTGTTCTTAGTTCCTTATCTCAGCTCACACATATGAGTACTCTGAGTACAGGCACTATAGGACATGGTATCTTCATGTATGAATCTAAAAACATTTGGTCGAACATGAGAGTGAGTTAATATTTGACAAAAAATCAGATGAAGCTGTAGAAACCTCTGATAATATGACAGAACAAGCTCATCTTCTACTTTTACAAGGGGTGTACAAGCGAGCTTGACCAACCAGCCAGTCAAACACGTGTGTTCTTGACAACACAGATGACAGTTCTGATGAGGGGTGTCAAAATGTGGGTACCTGGTGAATGAGACAAACAGCAGTATCCATCAGTTCACTGCTGAGATGACTGGAAAAAGACAGAGTGTGGCACTCCATGTAAATAAAGACTCAATTCCATACAGTGCTTCCATGTTGTATTTTATTATCAGTTTGTAAGTGGAGGAGACCAACTGATACTGATATATTGGGTTTTTGGACTTTATCCATCGTCCTGGTTTTTAAGATAACTAATAAAAACACGACGTTTCGGAAAATGGATCTGTTTCCGTCCTCAGGTGAAGGAAAACACCTATTCTGTTGGGTCCATTAGAAAGAGCTAGCCTCAATCGTCCAGTGATTGAGGCTAGCTCTTTCTTTTAATATGAGAATATAAATGATTACCTTCATTCATAAAAGCACATACCATAATCATAAGTCTGGCTGACCATAGATCACTTAAAACTTGACTGATGGTTTCATGACATACGTTACATCAGTAACAGACCAGAATTAAGAAAATCAAAGTCATATTTTATTGAATAATTTTTAAGAATTTTAACGTAAGTTCCCCAACCTCCAATCTTATAATTGGCCTGGAATTCACTTCAGTAATTTGTAAGAACATGTAATACAGCTATTCTTAATCACCAAATTTGTGTTCATTGTTACAGTCACAGTACATTAAGAAAATGGATCTTGGAGGAGGAATGATCTGGGCTCTTGACTTGGATGACTTCAAAAACCGATGTGGATGTGGGATACATCCACTGCTTAAGACAATCAATCATGAACTTCGTGGCCTTCAGGTTTCTACATCAGATTGTACATAAAGCAAATGGTATCAAAGTTTTTCATTGGCTAGGGTTGCCAACAGACTCTCATAGAAGTTGACAGAAGCACTTTTGATACATGAAAGGAATTTTTCACTGGAAACATTTCATGTTCAAGTTTTATAGTACAGTAATAATATTTTATTTTCTGTGAAAATAAGTAAAAAATTCCAGCACACAGAAATGAGAAAAAGGTTTGTGTTTGGCACATATCTAGATTAATTGTGTGCTCTGGATTAAATATATGAATATTTATGTATAAGAAGGGTAATTGTGACGCCCATAACATCTGCTCTGGACCATTAACAGACTTCCTTCTTTAACTGATACTTAACATCAGTGTTATGTTTAGGTTTATATCATCAATAGTAAAGAAATTCAAGGTCTTCTAGATTGTAGTTGTCAACACTGACCTAGTGATTGTTTACCAAACCATTATTTATAACATTAAATGTAACAATATATAAAGGAACAATATGTATTATAAACAAAAAGAAGTCACACACATGAAAGTTTCGCTCTCTTCTTCCAAGCTCTGAAGAGTGGATTTATCAGTGACTTCACCCCCCCCAACAGACACACACAGTGGGTAAAACGCCTTAAGCATAATATTCGTTCTGAAACGCATTTACTAACATAAATTTAATGTAAGAAGAACTGTTAATCACTTTAAGTATCACATGTCACTTTTTTATAGTAATAATTTAATCCTGGAATTTTTCTGTGACTTCCCTATCCCCTGCCATCTCCTCATATTTTTGCAATCCAGATAGTTACCTGTGTTATGTTTGCCTTCATCAGTAACTTATTTAATTTAACATACATTATTTATTCAATACATGATGACCTATCATGCGTTTAATTAACTTTTGTCATGCTATGAATTTTTAAATAAACTTGATATTTAAATTTTTACAATGACTTGCTTCAATGGATGGCATTATCAGTCAGAAGATGTCTCTGCTATCTCAGCATTTCAAGCCATCCACTTGCAGTTTGAAAACAGTGAGAATTATAATTTGTCATGTAACGTACAAATGTGCAATTTTTAAACAAATATTCAGCTCAGGAATAGTTAGGCTGCTTTAAATGCCAAGACTGTGTCATGAAATTCATGTAAGGTATGTAATGATGATGATGATAACAATGACAATGATGATAATGATGATGACAATGATGAGGATAATAAGAGCAGCAGCTAGTGTAGTGTAGTGTAGCGTAATGTTGAATGTCACTGGTGTCTGTTTTGTGTGACTGTGAACAACAGTGAAAAACATTATGAAAAATGAAAAAATCTGGAATGGTTATTAATGTGAATAAGAATATGTAAGAATAAAGAGTGTGATAGGCTGTGTGGGAGCATCTAATAAAAGGAAAGATGCACATAAGTATTCCTGTCACAAATGGCACAAGAGTATGTCCTTTAGATAGCAACAGGGCATTTATGTTCCACTGTGGCACATACATTATTTACACAACATGCACATACCATGGACGTGCCACAAGAAGTCAGTAGACATGGATAGGCAGGTTGGGTGAACTTTACACTACACCCTATCCTGAAAACATTCTTTGACTCATTTGCACTATGGGGGGAAAAGGTATAAATGATTTCACATCTTTGCAGTTGCTATCACTGTCGCCTTCACTGCTGTCAGTGGCACCTCAACTCACTAGTTACAGGCATGAACAAAACATACAGGTGATCTCAAATGGGTATATGTCTGTGAGACAGGAATAGTGTTAGTATCAGCATAGTGCACATGCCTGTGATCACCCTTTCATCCCACCCACACACACCTTGCCCCAACTCATGGAGCACCCATAATAGTTTCCTCTAATAAAATAACTTTCATAGTAGTGCAGGTCTTTTTAAATTACATTTTATGAGGCACATTATTTAAATAGAAGTAATACTGTAATATTTGAGTTAATAATCAAGACGTCTACCAGTGAATTCATGTTAACCATGAAACTGCTTGTTCACTTATATTTAAGGCAGTATGGTATCTTATAGGAATAAGAGAGTGCATGATCCTATGATGATAAGAGGAAAAAGAATTTAAGTCTTCCTTCCCCCTCTACCTTCTATATCTTTAATTCTCTCCTGTCTTTCTTCATATTACTTACCCATTTATTTGTCCATCATACTGTAACTTCCTCTCCTTGTTAAAATAATGTTTTCCCTGAGAAATTAGCTGCTGCTTTTATGTTGATATATTTATTGTTGTCAGTGTATAAAGTAAAACTGTGTCTTGTCAACTCCTTGCAAACATCCACTTACAAAAATTGGCAACCCTAACCAAATGTTCCTTTAGACATAGTACATTCCACAGCTTTATATCTTTTGTATTTAATTTTGTGTTTGTTTTGAAATCTGTGATATTAGGGGAGATTTTATGCCATTATTTCTCATACTTCAAATAGCAACTGAGGATGACAGCTGCTGTCTCACATTTGCATATAACAATTTTTTAATACCACAGCATTTTTTCTGAGGATGGTATCCATAGCGACTGATACAGTATGCATGAGACATCTGTGCTCCCAGTTATTTCACTCCCTTTTTAAAATCTGACAAATTTCTGTTTGAAGAAGTGAAAATATATCCCAGTCCCACTCTTACTGGATTAATTCATACTTATGATGTGTTTGCTAAATGTAAAAGGTAAAGTTGTCCCTGTGCTTGAGCACAGTGACATTAAGACATATGTGAGAGTGCATATTACAATTCCACACATATATATATACATACGTATATAACAACAGCACTAGATGTAGGTGAGTGGCCAACTTCACAGTTGAGTCACTTTTCCCTGGTATATATTGCAAAGACAGCTAAGTGGGCCCCAGGTCTCATTTGAACATGTTGAAAAACTGAAATTTCTCTAGCCTTCCCAGGAATTGAATTCTGGTCATCCAGCCTCTTAATGTGTATGATAGGCAATGGTGTGCACAAACATATTGACAAAATTGTGTGAATTGTGTTACTAAATGCAGCAAGTCTCAGGAGAGAATTTGCCATATTTATTCTCAGTATGCAATGGATGGCAGCAGATTTGTCGCCATTTTCTGCTCAACTGTTGAGTCTTTCCATGGTGAGAAACAACAGTATGGCAGCAAATTTTGAGCTGTGTGTAAATTGCTCCTATGTTATCATATAGAACCAAAGTTGGTAGTTATAAATTTAAACTGCAGGCATGCCTTTCAAATCTGTTATTTTTGTAAACAGTAGACTACTTCCACAATGGAAGAGTTATAAATATTGGTCCATAAAACTCTCAAGAAGGAGATTTTGTTAAGAACGAAATATTACATTGTTAGCTCATCAGGGAGAACTGAACATCTTTCCGATCTAAAAGTTCATGACGACGAATATGACAATGGGACAGAGAGACAAGAGTCCAGTCTCCAATTTTGCTGATGGATAATATCCAGAAAATTAGTTATTATAAAAGTCTGTACATTTTACCTCTCTATTCTTTTAAATGAGAATTTCTGAATAATGTTTTACTGTTAAGTAAATGGAAATATTTAAACATACTTTACAACCATGATATAAAATATTTAATTTAACAAATAATGCACACATTCTGGCTGAAGTGTTGTGGGTACATATGTGAAATACTTGTATTGCTCATTACCATTTTAAAATTAATAACAATAACAATGTAAATAATAAGCATTGTAACATTATTTGGTTCCATTAGGAGGTGTATCATTTCCTGTTTTTTATAGTCTCTTCAGTTGCATTAAAGATTATTGGGAAGTTTCGGAATGTATAAAGCATACGAAAACAAGGTGTGTTAACTTCTGAAATATCTACATACAAGCTATACACCGTAGTAAAGAACAGAATTTCTTCTACATATTTTGGACTATTATTGCTGGGTCATGGTCTTCAAAGTATTGTGTAATGGTTTATACTACTGTGAGAATGGAGTGATTTAAAAGCTTCTGGGACAAGATATGTGTCATACGCAGCAATGTACCGTTCAAAATAAAACATTTCTTAAAACTACTGTTATAATTACAGTTACAAAAGTGCTGTACATTAGCAAATTATTCCTCAAATTTTCAGTATAACTCTATGTTCAATCCATATTCAAATTTTTCTTGATTCACATAACCTTCCCAAAATGTTCGTTCCTTGATTTCTTTTTCTTTTGATAATATTAACTTATTGATTGCTGGTCAAATTGATCACCAGAGGCGAATGCTGCAGACCAGCTGTCAGTGCACTGCCAGACAGCTACAACTGGAGTAACATAAAATGAATGAAGATTTCAAATTTTCACAGCAGTGGTTGGCCTCGCTTGCTACCTGCTTCATGGTAGTTCCTTTGCGTTCCTTTGTCTTACTCTTAAACCCTGAAGATGGAGACATGTTCCTCCGAAACGTCGGCTGACTTTCAACAAACTACGCAGTGTTATTTCCCAAATGACAGAATTCTTCATAAAAAACGAGTTCTCCATTAAGTAAAGGATCTAAAGCATTAAATCCACTGACAGCATGGTACATTATACGGCATTTGTTAGCTTCGTATGCGGCAGGCTAGGGAACGCTAGGGAAGCGGGTAAATTCACTGTTTGACTGGGTATTCAAAAACCCCTAACTCCCTCGCGCATGTTTCAGTGTTGATAAAAGAAGTACTAGAACAGGATTCTATTGTTAGTAATCTGTCGTTCATGCTGTTTTGTGCCTTCCATACTTGCCAGTCGTATGAGTACGAAGAGAAAATAGCGGAGTAGTGGATACGACACGTGAGGTGTTTCCGGTAAGTGCAAAAATTGAGATGGTTGTATATGATCAAAGCGGATAAAAATGCATAAAACAGTAGGAGACATGAACCTAGTTTGCAACAGTTATACTTCAATGTTCACCGGTATTCACAGTATTGACTGCTTGTGACTCGGCGGGAAAGTTGAACGTTGGGTCTCATCGATATGCAAATAATTCAGATCATTAGCTTATCATGGGTTAGATTTGTTTTACAAAGTAGAATATTTGTAATTCTGCTTTAATATGTAAGATATACAAAAATATTCTTTGTGTTGTTTGCATTGTTGCTTCTCCCTCCAATGGTAACATAACCTCAATTTAATTAACGAAAAATTACAGTATTGTACTTCGAATATAAGACGACCTTTAATTTAAGGCGCATCCAGTTTTTTAATGTGGGTTTAGGAAGAAAAAATTAGAAAGGTGCGCATTCCTCGAATATAAGATGCACCTCAATTTTTCAACAGGAAAAAATGTGTAAAGTGTGCGTCAAACATTCGAAGTAAATACGGTAATTTGTTAACAGTAGAAATTTAAGTGCCAGAAAATATGATTAATTAATTATGTGATATCGATTACATACATTTTAAGGTATAGATAACCGCGAGTTTTTTTTAATAAATAGTTTTAAATATGTATAAATTTCCTACAACTGTACCGTGTTGGCACCAACCAAGCAAAATTGTAGGATTGGTGACTTCTGTTCTCTCTCCTCATTCACTTCACCAACATTATTACTTCACACAAATGCAGAACAGGCTTATTACACGAGATTATACAGAACAAAGAAGAAAATTAAGAACCGAGGTTATCTGTGAAGAGTACTGTCATCTGGGATGTGACACCATGTGTTCTATTTCTGAGGAACATACTGTCTCCATCTTCAGAACCAAAGAGCAAGCCAAGCAAGTAGTAAGTAGAAAGAAATACCGGTACTATATAAGTTCAAAAACGCTTTGAAAACTTACCTACTCGATCATTGTTTTTATAAAGTTGATGAGTTTCTCTCATGTGAGACAAACACTAATCAATTATAATCACATAATTCATGAATAATCGGTTTTGGGAATCCCTACTGCCCAGTTTTCCTTTCTTCCAGCACCCAAGGTAACACAGTCGGAGATGTACCTGAATGGGCTACTCTGGAGAGATTGCAGATGCCAAGAAGCTGCACCAGGAAGGGAGAACAGATGTAATGATATGCTGCAATGTATAGTCTACAGTGAAATGTTATACCAGTGCTATCACCAAATTCACCAATATTATCTCAAAGGCCACGCCATAGCTTAAGCGGTTAGTCACTGGCTTCCCTCTGCTGCGGTCTAGTCAAGTGGGATTTGTGATGGACAAAGTGGCGCTGGGGCAGGTTTTCCCCAAGTACTTCGGTTTCCCCTGCCAATCCTCATTCCACCAAATTCTCCATAAGCATTATCACCAGTACAGGTACAATAGGACATATGGAAGCCGACATGCCGAGGGGACCTAATATGGATTCCACCTCACACTGTATTAAACCAGTGTAGAAACCAGTGTATCTGGGAGGTCTTGTGACCGGCCAGTTCGATCAAGGTTTTCCGTGGTTTTCCTTGGTCCCAGAGCAAATGCTGAGTTGGTACCCAAATTCCACGTTGCACTGCATGCTTCACATGCATCCCCCCCCAATAGTAACATCATGAAACTTATTATACTATAACTACACAAGAATGACATGTCTTATATCATGTATAATGATCCACGGACACGAAATAAATGAAATGAAATGAAATCTTAACTATTGTAATCTATTGTAAACAATTTTGAGTATTGTAACTTTATTCTCTTATTGTAATCAGCCAATGTACAGTAACTGACTTGTCCTATATCATGTAACAATGATCTATAGAGATGAAATAAATAAATAAATAAAGAGTGGTTGCTTGTTGCCTGCTTGGTGTACTTTGACCTTGGAGATGGTTACTATACAAGCTGGAAAAGCTTAAAGGAAAGTTAGGCAATGCATGCATTTAATTTAGTTAAATTAGGTAATTTAAATGAAATTGTATTAATTTTAAGTTTTATAGTAATGTTTCTTTAAATTATGTTTATTAATTAAAATTGTATTGAGTATTTTATTTTTTATTTTATTATCTATGTTAATTGACTAATGTATGTGATTTTAATTATGTAACTCGTGTAATTTATTATGTGTATCTAGACACATCTATTATCAAAGGGACTATTTCCACATCCTAGGTTTTTTACCTGTATGGATATATGGAAAATAAAGGAAATGAATGAATGAAAAGCAGATGATAAGTGGGAAGCATAAGGGTTGTAAAGTACTATACATTTCCTGTTTGACTGAATATACAAGACAGTCCTAATATACATATTACTAATTAGTACTAACAAAGTTCTTACCAAGTTTTAAATCAGAAATGGTTGAGAACTCTTAAGTTTCATGATGTATTCTGGATTCTTCCTGATCTTATAACTTATCACTTTCACGTTGGTATTAGCTAGGGCAATAATTTATAACTAAAACCCAGTTTCAGCTCCCAGAACAATTTTAAATTTGATGTTACTTTCATTTAACACTTGGGGTTGTTATGTGTTTATTTACAGGATCATTTCACATCATGTTGATGTAAGGCTATAACTTTGTTGTTTGTGCTCATATTCATATGAGTGTAAATAACTAAACCAAGAAATGATGCTAGACTGTGTTTAAAACACCTTGAGGTTGCATCATCATCATCATAGAATTACTAGATTCTATTTTCAACATACAAAGGTAAAGGGTGTAGTTATTCTGTGCTTAAGTAGTTAAGCACTATGCTGTGAATGTGTATGAGGGAGTGGATGTATATATCCATGTTTTCTTGACCTCAGCACTAGCTGGAGGTGAGTGGTCAGCTTCATGCTTCGGCCCCTTTACCACTGGGTAAAGAGGCCCCAGTACCCAATGGATAGGAGGCTGGCTGGGCCCCAAAACTGGTCTGGATGACATGGAGAAGAGAAAATTCTTGCCCCTACCATTACTCAAACTCTGAGACCTCGGTCATCCAGTCCATAGCCAGTCATTATACCGAATGCGCTATCCTGGCTCCCTTTTATGAAGGGAATCAAATTCACTGTACCAGCATGGTGAACACAGGATTTTTTTTTTTGTAAGGTTCCCTGCTTAAGGTATGATGTACCTTCAGAGATGTTGTAGATGGACAGAAGTAGCTTGTTAATATGAAACATTTTCCATTTATTTGGTTCTTTCCGTATATCTCCCAACATAGAAACCCAAGAATATTGAACCAATTTATTAATATAAAATTACATTTTAGACTGTTTTTAGTACAAAATGAATTAAACTTAGGCTTAACCTATTCAGAGTACTTTTAATTTCTCAGATCATAATGAAATATATTTTGTCTTTGCAGGAAGAATGGTTTTTGTTGCTGGAGGGCTTATTCCTGCAAGATTTCTTACACTTATTTCTCATCTCACAATTGTCATTGTAATCCTCTGGTCGAGAGTAAGTTATGGTATATATTCACAGTGCAGTAACCAGTTGCATATGCATCTTGCATGCACAGTGTTATGTTATGCAGCAGACATCATTAAACAACATTCCATCCATAGTACACTGGACGTACTTCCGTGTTTTTTCAACAGATCTGAATTATTGTGACTGTAGGTTGGATTAGTTCAATTTAATTTGCCTTGTTTTACTTTATTTTACTTAATGGTAAATTTATGTTATGTCTAGCACACACAAACACTAAGTTTTACAGTAGATAGCGTCATGTGAGTGTGTTAGAGAGGCTTAGACACAGTACCAGTACTGCAGAATTGTTCTGTAAGTTGTAACATTGATTTTATTATTTTGTAGTCTGCCTATTTAACATATCAATTCCATGGCAGATGGCTGCAGTGTTTTAAATGGTGTTTCTTTATTTCAGGATGAAAATGTAAAAGCCTGCTTACCATTAGAATATACAGCTGAGGATTACTCAAAAAAGGATGTTGAGTAAGTAATTTTTAAGTGTTTGTCATGTATAGATGTGAATGAAATAATTCTGAGTTCTATTATTTGTAAGAGTGGGAACAATTTCTTGCATAATTCCTCTGCAGAACCCCTCTACTGAGTCTCAAAGTTTGTCCCTCCCAAAAAGTATCCACAAAATGGCAGACACATGGTTATGAAAGAAGAAGAGTGGCTTTGTTCCTAGTAAAGTATGAAATGCTTTAGGAAAAAAGGAAGTTGTGAAGTAGTTTACTAATTTATTGGCTCTATAAAAATTAATACTTAATCCGTTGTGCACAAATGCCGATTGAGATTCAGGACAGGTACTGGTGGTCTGTAATTGGCAATGACCTGTCTCACCTGTACCAGTTTTCAGTTATCCTTGATATTTTATTTTCATTTGGCAGGGAGGTAACTTTTCTGTATTATTTAGTCAATTTTTGGCAGTTGTTCCATATTCATATTTTTATTGGTTCCAGAAATCCACATTTTGCAATACAGCCTCCAGATACAGAACAAGTCAAATTATTTGTATAAAAGTCAACAATACTATAATATTTAACTACATACACAAATTGTGTACATGTCCAACTACCATATAAAACTATATTAAAAATTTAAGACAACATAAATTCCCCAACAGAGTAACCAATTCAATCCATTTCACATTAATCAATCAATCAATGAATCAACCAATCCATTCTTCCTTCCTCGTTAAATCACTATCATAGGAAAATGTTCCATACACATTAAACATACAATAGTTCAATTTCTATAATTAAAAATAAATACCCCCCTTTCACAAACATAACATCTTTAATTTAACATATATTCCTCTACAGAATAAAACGTATGTTGTACCATATATGACCTCATTACTTTTTTAAACTGTCACATTTCTTCTATCTCCCTAACTTTATTTGGTATTTTATTGTATAATTTTATTTCCATGTTCAGTAATCCTTATTTATAGGCATTTGTTCTGCAAAACTGAGCATGGAGATTTAACTTCTGGCATGTATTGTGATTATGAACTATAGATGTGTAACGTATTTATGATGCTCTACATGGACTACTAAGTGCCTATGCTAATTCTCTGTGAAAATGGAAGGCCTTAAGAGCCACACTGTAAATTTAAGAGGCCATGCCAGGTGCAGTAGTAGGCCATTTAAATACCCATATAAGGGCTTAAGCATTACTGTAGTTTCTGGGACTTCTTCCGTAGTCATTTGCAGAAGGGTTTGCTATGTTAAGAGTGCAATATGAGTTGTTATTTTTAAATGGAAAGTACTGTACATTCTCACTGTACTCTCATGTTTTATTAAAGGTAAATGCTGCATTTTCCAGTCTGATTTTTTTATTAGTTTTTCAACATTTTTTTCTTTTATTATCAATTTAAATCACTAAGTGTATGTAGTTTTTCTGTTTCAGGGTGCAGACTGGGTTAGGAATAGCCATCATGTTTATTGGCATTGAATTGCTGACATTTCTAATGGGCATAACAATGTTCTTGCCATCTGTAGCAATGATTTGTATCCTTTTATACTATAAAATCAATAGAGAACATAACATGTGGCTGAAGGTTGTATAGGGTGATCATAAGTCATGCAAGTGAAAAGCATGATAATTTATCTCACACGATTTTATGATCACAGTGCAGAGCAATCATAAAGTCGACTACTTGACAGGCTCAGTACCTTATCTCACTTGCACAACATAACAGTCACACCAGAGGGTGATCAGGAAGGCGCATACAAGGGTGGACAAAATAATAGAAGTGGTAAGAAATTGAGGAATAGAATTTGTGATGGCTACATTCAAGAACTTCTGTTGGCAACACTGAATGTTTTTCCATCTGTTTATACACTGTAGTGCTTGTCTCGGTGAATTAATATTTGTGTTGAGTGACAGTCCGTGTAAAAGAATCGAAAAATGTGAGACTTGTTCAATCTTGAAAGAGGACATATCGTTTATGCATCTGTGACAAAAGACTGTGACATAATTAGATGTATTGAGAGCTACAGTTTCTAAGATCATGCCAGCAGACACAAATCATTGGAAGTCATCATCAGCGAAGAGGAACAGTGGGCAAAAATCAGCATTGACAGAAAGAGATCGTCGAACTATGCGGTTAGGTGTATGTCTCATGTCAGCAATACTGAGACTCTCAAATCAATTTATTTTGCCTATTTTAACTCTGTAATTAAATATGGTATAATTTTTTGGGGCAACTCATCGTACAGTAAAAAGATATTCATCTTACAAAAGAAAATTTTTAGATTAATGGCTGGTGTTAAACCAAGAGACTCATGCAAAAATCTTTTTAAGAGACTAGAAATCCTAACTCTACCATGTGAATACATATTCTCCCTAATGATCTTCATTGCAAAAAACCAAGAATTCTTTCCAACTAATTCTACTATTCACACTGTCAACACAAGGAATAAAAGTCAGCTTCATAGACCAATTGCCAGCCTCCAATGTTTCCAGAAGAGTGCATATTATGCTGGCATTAAAATCTTCAACAGTCTACCATCAAATATTACAGCTCTTATAGATAAACAGGCACAATTTAAAGCAGCGCTAAAGAGATACTTAATTACACACTCCTTTTACTCTGTTGAGGAATTTATGCTTTCGAATAACCCAAAGTGTATGTAATGTATGGATTTTATTGACACTTCACTACTTTTGTGAACCTTTTACTACTATTGTGACTTTGTTTTCATTGGTAAAATTTTTTGCAATAGTTTGATTTGTTCGTGTATATGTATTGTATGATTTTTTGACTAATTCCATATCCTATGGTCTTTCTGACTAACATAAGGATCTATGGAATGCTATATGTATGTATGTATGAACCTTGAGAATGATTATTTCGAAAAATTGAAGACCTCTTGCAGCACAGGTGACAGCAGAACTGAATATTCATCTTGAAGACCCTGTTTCCACAAAAACTGTCCGATGTGAGCTTTACAAATCCAACGTCCGCAATGGGGATGCAATTGCTAAACCTCTAACTACTGAAAGTAATGCTCAGATATGAAAACGATGGTGTCACAGCCATAAAACCTGGACATCAGACAACTGGCAACACGTGTGTGATATGGTCAGATGTGTTGTCCTTCATGCTGTTCCCTACAGCAGGAAGAGTTTACGTTTGGAGAACACCCAAGGAAGCCTAATCCAGAATGCCTGCTTCCAACAGTGAAACATGGGGGAGGTTCTGTAGTGGTTTGGGCAGCAGTATCATGGTACAGTTTTCTGCTCATCCCATTATTACCCTTCATGGCCGAATTACTGCAAGAGAGTACTTGGAAACATTGGGTAATCAGGTGCATCCCGTGATCCAGACATTATTTCTGAACAACAGTGCAGTTTTCCAAGATGACAGTGCCCCCATTCACACAGCTGGAACTGTTCAGTCATGGTTTGAAGAGCATGAAGGTGACTTTGAACATCTTCCTGGCCAGCACAATCACCACATTTGAACATCACTGAATTACTCTGGTCAAGTTTTTGAGACTACAACGAGGAACAACTTCCCACCTCGAACATCTCTAAAGCAACTTGGAGATGTTCTTCAAGAAGAATGGTATAAAATTCAGCTAGAGGCTTTCCAAAACTTGTACGAGTCCAATCCTGGAAGGTTGTGGCTGTACTGAAGGCTAAAGGTGGTCCAACGCCTTATTAATAGAGAAATGTTTACAGTATCTGTAGTGTTTCCATTACTTGGTCCAATCTCTGTAGGTGACAAGCATGATAATTTGTCTGACTTGCATGACTTTACAGTCACACTATTATACAGCTGTGGAAATGCTACATGCATTGAAAAAGAAAATAAATATGACACTTCAAGGAAGAACTTACCATGCCTACATCAATTTAAATACTTGAGTCTGGACAGAAATTCCAACTGGGCATTGTAATGGTTGTGTCAATTGTTTCCATCTGCAGAAATTTCGCTCGTCCATAAAGGTGCAAGTGTTTATGGCTTGATGTTCCTTAACAACGGTCTCACAGCTATTGCTTCTCATTCCAGTGCCTCTGTCCTCCTTGCATACTTTGTGTTTGATGAGTGGGACTGCAACCTGTATTGGTGGGTGTTTGCATTTTGCAGTGTCCCTCCAGCCATCATAGATGCCACTGCAGCCATTGGAATCCTTGTCCTTAAAAAGAGCTGAATAAGAAGATGCCTGTAAGTTGGTCCTCTGTTTTCTTTTCTCTGTGCTTCTTTGTTGGATTATGACATTGGGTCATGATGAGCCAGTCTGCCAAGTCATTTCACTAACTTTGCCGTCAAGTGGCAGTCATTCGGTAGGTATAGACTACAGGCCATGGAGTTTTGTATGTTTGGAATGTTAGAGGCTGCTGCAAGCAATTGGTGCTGGTTCTTGTATGACAAGAATCATTAATGTATACCTGTCTAACAGATATGTGAAATGTTTGAACATCTATTGTAATTGCATAGGTTCTTGCTCCAAATAATTGTTTGGTTTACATTAAATTTCACAGCAGTATGGGTAAGTGCAACCATGTATTTACAGGTGGCAAGAATTTCCTGCACTTGGGCCCACATTGGTCATGCCTGCCGGATCTCGTCAGTAATGCCGTCTCTCACGAAGCTACCAGTGCTGCCTATTTGAATCGAAATAGCAGCTTCTTGCTAATAAGAACACTAATCTTATGTTGAATTGTATAATTAGGTTGAGCACTTAAGCACTATGTTTTGCATTTTAGTGCTTCATACTCATCTGTCTACATTATAGCTCTTAAACTGAACTGTGGATCAAGTTCATTACTCAGAAAATACTTTGTTGCTTTATGTATGTGTGATCTGGGCTTTCAAATTACGTTGATGGCTCTTGTTACATGTTACACCAGGGAGTATTCATTTCATACCGCCATAAGAACAAAGACCTTACTGTCCATAAATGTTAAACCAGCCCGTTTTATATCAATTTATATATATAGTACATTGATATTGTAAACTAAGTGCAAAATTTTTGGAGTTTTATCAGCATTACTATTCATAGTGGCATTACACAGTGTAATAAAGAGTACTGATCAGAGAAGAACAATTTATACAAAATCAAGCCAAATATGTGCATATGCGGATGACCGCCATAATAGCTAGATCCAGAGAAAAGATAATCAAGATACATAAGAAAATGGAAGAAAAATCAGGGAAGATAGGATTAGAAGTAAACAAAAGAAAAACGAAATATATGATTATGTCAACATCAGAAAGCAGAAGGAAACCACAAGATTTAAAGATAGAAGGGAAATTATTTACAGGAGTGAGTAGTTTTAAATATTTAGGAAATATGATCAATAATGGCAGTAGAAATGATAATTGTGTTAAGAAAAGGATACAAGCTGGAAACAGGGCCTACTTCGCAAATATTAGTGCACTTAGAAGCAAAATAATATCAAGAGCAGCTAAGCTATAAGTATACAAAACATTAATAAGACCTGTTGCTACATACGGGGCAGAAAGATGGACCTTAACAGTAACAGAAGAGAATGTTCAAGAGAAAAATATATGAACCATGAATGGAAAATAATATATGGAGGATAAGATACAGTGAAGAGATAAACACATTACTGAAAGGAGAACATGTAGTAAGATATATCAAGTCACGGAGAATAAGATGGTTGGAACATGTCGAAAGAACGGAAGATAATGCAATGCCAAAGGGAATGTTAAAAGGAAGGCCCAGGATGAGATGGCTAGATGATTTTGAGAATGACCTGAAGAAGATGAAGGTGAAAGGATGGCTAAAGAAGATGAGGAATATAGAGCAGTGGTGACTTGTTGTATAGGATGCCAAGGCTCACCCAGGGCTGTAGTGCCTAGTGGTAGGTAGGTAGGTAGGTATTTTGATATTGTATTTGCTCATTGTCAGTTGTCCATTATCAAGAGTGCATTTACATTGCAGTTGTTGATGACAGAAATGATCTCAAATAAATATTAGTGAGAATGTGTTCTTTAAACTTTACCCAAAAGTTCCAGAAATTTATTTGCATCAAGATAGCCGCCTCCTGTTAAAGCATGAGAGGTGTAGAGCACAGGAGTGGACTGTGTGCCATCTGTAAAGAAATTAGCAACAAGCTGAGAGACAGTGTCCTGCAGTCAGCAGTGGAGAGACAATTGGATCCTGCACCATGACAGGACATACTGTCACGCCTCCCTCACAATGCACCGCTTATGGCAAGAACCATATTCCAGCCATCACCCAGCCACCATATTCTCTGGATCTCACTCCATGCAACTTACAGCTCTTCCTGAGACTCAAGATGGAGTTCAGAGGTCATTATATTGCATTTGTGGAGGAAATTCAGCAGAATGACAGCAGGTCTCTGAGCCGTACCAGATGAGGACCTCAAGAGGTGCTTCCAGCAATAGCAGGACCACTGGAGCAAGGGAGTATGTTCAGAATAGCCATACTTTAAGGGTGACTAGGTTAGTTTCTTTATATATTCTTTGTACTAAAAATGATGCCTGAATTTTGGGAACTTTTTGGTCCTCCTGCATACACTGTCACAAATAATAACTGTTATTTTCATGACAGGTGTATTAATGTACATTTAGGCATACTCTGTTGTGATGAATGCCTGTTAGATGTGTCATATCTGTCCATTGATAAATGTACAGTATCACTACTATGAATGAATGTTATTTGGTATTGTACATTCCTGTTATTATTTATGGACAAATATATATATTTTTGGTCCACTTCATGTGACATGGATTACCACTTTACATTTTTTTAATTAACATATAAATTGCATATTTACAATCTACTCTATTTTATGGAGTAATAAGTAAATTTGCACTAAGTGGGTGTCTTGAGTAGAGAAAGCATCCACTGATGATGCTCTTACAGGCCCGGTAGCAGAACTATAATGGCTTTAGCTTTCTTCTTCTGTGTGTTGTGGTAGGTTGGACGGCCACCGTCTCCTCAATCTCCTTACATTTGGTGGGTTGCTGATTTCTGCAACTAATCTGTTATTGTGTCCGAGTACGCTATGATGGTAGAGTGTTGGCAATATATGTATTTCTTCTATGGCAAATGAGATTTGCAGATCATTGTGGGTAGTAAGTTGGAGACATACCGAGGTGCATTGATTATTAAGCGCAAGACTCTAGATTGGAATCTTTGAACTATTTTTGTGTTTGATGGTTTTTTGCAACCCCATATTTGTATACCATATGTTCACATGGGTTTTATTATGCATTTATGTAGCAGAAGTTTTTTTTCTATGGATAACTTGGATTTGCAGCCCAAAAGTCAGGACATTTCTCATAGTCTTTAAGTTTAACTTCTGACACCTCGTATTGATGTGTTTCTGCCATGTCAGTATTTGGTCGAGGTATAAACCCAAGTATTTTACTTCTGTCTGAACCGTTATTTTTATACTGTTGATAATTTGCCGGCAATTTATATGCTTCGTGGTGAATGTAACTTGCACTGATTTTGTCTGATTTATTTTGATTTTCCATTTGCTGTACCATTGCTGGAGGAGGTTTAGGTGATGCCAGAGATGTCGTGATGCTACTATTGGATCATTATTTGTTGCTAGCAAGACTGTGTCGTCCACGTAACCACTTTACATGCAGGCATAAATAAGATTCTAGTACATTTCAGTGATTAGTATCAAGCCATTGATAGATATAGGGTCATCAGTTCCAGCTAAGCAGAATAAGGGACAGCTCAGAGTACATTTGCATATTACACATTTTTCAGATAGTGATTACTAGATACTAAGGTGAACTTATGAATGAATAGTGTGAAATGTTCATTCTTGTAATATATTGTGCACTTTGCAAATATTCCAGGTTAGCCATTTTGCCCTTAGTGAAATTTTATTTCAGAAATCACTAGTAGCAGATAGAAGCACATGTCTGGTTGCATCTCCTCTAAGTGTTATGTATGCAGGATATTATATCGTTGTGTGATAAAGAATCTGATCCAGTCTTTAAGGGATGTATCTATCCTGTTGTGTGTTAGTACTATATATGAGTTCTGTTTTTCCTGTCAAACTCAACAAACACAGCCAACCACAATCAAACATGAACATACTATAGACAACATAAGGGGAAACAGTTTTATCATATATACAGCATTTAGGATCAAGACAACAACTATAAGCCAAAATGCAGTCACATTGATGTGGAAAGCCAGGCATGACAAGCAGAGGGAATCTCTACATAACTTCAATTTATTTAAACTAGGGGGGGGACTCAACCACTAAAAATATTTAGAATACAGTATTTCCATGGGTTCAATATTATAACCTATTAATATCTTTTTAGTATTTTAAGACTTCTTAATAAGTTTTAAATACTTGTTTAATACATTTTTAAAGCAATATAAAATCACCACCACTTAATCTGTGCATATAAAGGTGATTAACCAAAGGGAAAGAAGCACACCATATTTTTTCAGTTTATTGTAATAAACAATGATAAATACAATATATGGGCCCATATAGGAGGCATAATTCTGTAGTATAAGGTTTGTTAATGTATCACCTGATGATGGCTCCATAAGCCGAAACATGTTGCGACATTGTATGACCAATAAACTCGGTTATCGATCAGGATAGTTCACTTGCGGACTAAAATCACGGAGTTTTATGCTCAGTGAGATGTGAGTGAGTTGTTTGGTATATTGTTGTATTTGGCAGGAGGAACAAAACTCATGTATAATGTAACCCAGTGGCTGTCATAATAGTGCACAGAAATGTAGTAATCAATGTAAATCAGAGATTTACCAGAACTGATACCAGTATATTTTGATATATTCTGTAAAATATAATAAAGGACTTTGTATAACAAACAGTAATAGCAATGGTAATACAGAGTACAGAGTAGTAAGTTACCTACCTACCACTTGGCACTACAGCCCTGTGTGAGTCTTGGCCTCCTCTATAACCAGTCTCTACTGCTCTCTATTCCTCATCTTCTCTTTCCATCCTTTCACCTTCATCTTCTTCGGGTCGCTTTCAACATTGTCTAGCCTAGGTCTTCCTATTCTTCTTTTGGAATATAGCCTTCCTTTTAACATTCTTTTAACATGTTTATCTCTTCATTGTACCTTATCCTCCATATATTATTTTCCATCACTGTTCAGTATACTCTTATTATTTTTCTCTTGAACATTCTCAGTGCATTATCTTCTGTTACTATAAAGGTCCATGTTTCTGCACCATATGTAACAACAGGTATTAATATAGAGTAGTAAGTTGACAGAAATATGTAAATCTGGTTGAATGTCCTCTTGTACTTGTACTTGTACTTAAGATATTATCACTCACTCACTCATGTAGCTGAGCCCTTCTTGAGAAGCCGCCAGTTGTGCAGCTACTCAAGAACTTCCCAGCATTTTATGGAACTCGAAGGTTCACTACCGTGTTAACAAGAGCCCTCCACCGGTTCATATCCTGAGCCAGATCAGTCCCATCATATCTCTCTATCTCCATTTTAATAGTGTCCACCCAATTAAATCTTGGTCTTCCCAGTGGTCTCTTTCCTTCTGGCTTTCCCACCAATATCCTATATGCATTCCTCTTCGCCCCCATTCGTGCTATATTCCCCGCCCATCTCATCCTCCTTGACTTGATCATTCTAATTATACTTGGAGAAGAGTACAAATTATGAAGCTCCTCATTATGCAGTTTTCTCCAACCTCCCGTCACTTCATCTCTATTCGATCCAAATATTCTCAACACCCTGTTCTCAGTCTGTTCCAATTACCAGTCCATGTTGGTAATGATAACCTTCGCTAGCCACAGACTAGACGGAAATAGAATACTAGACAGATAATGTGACGCATTGAATGTCGTGATTCCTACCAATCATGGTACTTCTTTCCATGGCCTCAGTATAGAATGGAGAAGATGGAGGGGTTAGCTTGCCACGTCTCTGACCCATATACCTGGGTAAAATTACCCAGTATGCGTTAAATGGATGATGTGGGGGACCCCACAGCGACTTTGAACGCTGTAGCGGCGAGAATATTTCCACCAGTCAGTCATCATCCAATCCATGCCAAGCTTTCTGACTGATAGCTCCCCATCAGTGAAATTAGCTGCATTATCCAATGAAATCACAGACACCACGAAGTCGGAGTTTCGTGGCTGCATGTGTTTTACAGAAGCTCGTTTAGAGCCTTTTTTTTTGTAACCCCCTTCGTAACGATTGGGAAAACAACATTTCTATAGGCCGATACGCACGGAAGCACAGGGATAGTGCCCATTGTGACAACAGATATTAGGCTTAATATTCATGAAAGGAACCGGAAATGTTTGCGAAACTCC